ATTTTGAATGCAATCTAACTTTCCAACTCAGAAAACGAAAAACGAAAAAGTGCCAAAAGTCTTCTCACATGGCTGAGCTGCTTTGCAATATACTTCACCACTGAAGAATACAAATATGTATAAAGTAAACTATGATGCAATCTAACTTTCCAACTCAGAAAAATGATAAAGAGCATGAACAAAGAACATGTAAAAACAAATGCAACATTTGCACAATCTAAAATGAGAAACTGTAACTGCAAGTAACAAAGTCTGAGCCATGGTAAAGAGTTACATTGAACACCAAGCTGATCAGATAACTCCCTGGTTGGTCTGAAGTCCTTCTATCTCCAGGATCTGTACAAATCGGCACATTATGCCAAAAGTCTTCTCACTGGGTGAGCTGCTTTGCAATATACTTCACATTGTTAGAAAAGGCTCCAGAAGGCCTTGGGGACATCAGTATCAGGGGCTGGAGCTGGACAGGCTCTTTCATCAGCACTTCTCCTTCCCTTTGCCAGCCAGGACCTCACATACTGTTCCGGATTGAACTGTCCAGTGATGGTCCATTACATTTAATGAAAACCAGGCTGGACAGTCAGCTGACAGAGAGAGCATTCCTTTTTGCAGTAAGGATATCGTTCATGCAGCTGAATGCCCGCTCACACTCACTAGTGGAGACAGCGATGGTTCGGACTGCTTTCAGTAGAGGCTCCATGGCAGCAGGTGTACGGGATGCCCTGGTTTCCTTGTATTCGCGAAAGCCCTGAACAGTCTCTCTTCTGTCCACTTTCAGCACTTCGCACAAACGTAGCACCTCTATGTCCCCATACTGTACGTCTAACTCCTCTTCAGGCCAACTTCCAGGATGGATAACTTTCATGTCCTGGATTAGCTGATTGTCCCGGGCCTCCCGGCCATGTAATGGGATTTCTCTTGTGCTGACATGAGAGGAGGTTGTGGAAGTCATTCTGTGTCTCAGATTCTCTACCATACTGTGGAAAAACTGACCTGCATGAATCTGTACAAGCCTGCCATTCTCACGCAGGGCAACACCCTTGAAGGACTTCTCAGCTAGAGCTGTATGAACTGTAGTCATGTGTGGGCCAGGCATGGTGACCATGGATTCAAAAACTCGTATTTCTCGAGTTAAGAGCCTATCTGCTGTAGGCAGTGTCATCTCTCTTTTTTGGAGTTGCCGAGAGAGGTCGCTGAGCTCTGTGAGCGCATCGTACATCAGTCCCAGATTGCTGACAAACGTTGCAGATGTGAGCACATCATCCAGGCCCTTGTACTTCGCTCTGTCTCTGGAATCCCTGCTCGTGTCGTTTGCAGCATTTGTGAAGTGATCATGAAGCACTCGGTAGTTTTCCCAGACTGCTCTGACGCTCCTTTCACTTGAAGCCACCCAGCGGATGGACAAAACACGCCCTATCACCAGGAGACGCTGTCCGACTGCTTGCGCACACTGCGCTAACTGCCTCTGATTTTTGGGGGAGGCATGGAACAAGGAATAGAGTTTGTCAAAAAAGATCTGGAAATGATTGAGCCCTGAGACCTCCTTGACCACATCCCCAACTGCCAGCTCTAGACGATGATTGGAGCAGTGCCACACAAACAGGCTTGGGAATTTACTACACAACTGGGTAGCAACGCCTGTTCTCTTCCCTAGCATGACTGAAGCCCCATCACATGCAAAAGAAATGAAACACTGACCTAAAAAGTCCTCGTTAAAATCTCTTCCAAGACACTCCATTAACGCCTTTGTGATGTCATCAGCCGTTGTTCCATCCAACTCGATCAGCTCCCAAAAAAACGTTTCGGGCTCAGCATCAGCTAATGCTGAGCGTAGACACACAACAAGCACCGTTTTACCACTAATAGTGGTAGATTCATCGACCAAAACACAGAGTTTTCTTTGGTTTTCTGTAATGTCTTTTGCCATTTTTTTTCTTCAGCTCATGAGCTATGTGGTCGATGATTTCGCCACAGGTTTTATTGGAGTGCAAAACCCTGCCCACGTTCAGCCCATTCAGTTTCTGTACATTCAAATCAATTGGCATGTCTGTGAATGGCCGGCTATGTTTGCCAATTTTATATGCTGTTCGAAAAACTCTGATAGTGGTGTCTAATTCAGATTTATGCATAGACTGCACTTGATGTTGAATAGTTTCACGTGAAGCAGATGTAAGGATGTCAGCAGCTTTTACATGGGCTTGTGATTCATTATGTTCTTTGATTTTTTTTCTCAGGCTAGCTTGTTGTTTGCCCTTGTCAACACCGAAATGAGACACTGCACACTCACCCCATTCAGTTGACAGTTTCAGTCCTTGTCCAGTGTGTATTCCCAAAGATTTGACATCTCTGCATATCCGACATCCTAGCTTCTTATCTTTAAGAAGGAGCCATGCATTGGTCTTGCAAAAATATTGCACCTGGTCCGTTGTCCAGCAGTCAGGTGCATCGCTTTGCCCGGTGTTGGTGGTGGCAGTTGCGCCAGCAGCAGCTAACGTTAGAGGCTCTGGAGGAGGCGGCGGAGCTAGTGCTAATGCTAATGCACTAGAACTTGGAGCAGGAGGATCAACCAAAGAAAGCTCCCCATCAGACACAATTTCCAACACAGGCACAGCATTCTCTGGATTTGAAGTTTCTTCCGGCGACAACCGCTGTCTTTTTGCACTTTTATTAATCCACGCTAACATTTTAGAAATGCTAATTTGTGACGTGACTTGCTTTCCTTCTCTCGGGGGCGTGCCTGCTCTGTTCTATCACTCTACATAGCCACCCACTGGGTGGGAGTTGCACTGCATAAACACAACACACGTGCATCTAGGTATGTAAATTGTAAAGCATTAAAACATGGTTTTACTAACAGTTTTCAGTATGTTGTTACTTCGGCATTATTATTATTATTATTTTGAAACGTGTATTACTATTAAATCACGGTCAAATAGGTTAATTTTGACATAGTCGTTTCCACCACAGTATTTACATGGAGAAGATAAGCCCCGCCCCCTCTCCAGCACGTTCTGTTTGAATGACAGGAGTAAACAGCTGACAGCCGCTGTGAAACTCCAGCGGTTTAGAGCGATGAGAATGTCCGTTCGGCACCTCATGACGCATCTACTGAGTACCGGGCGGCTGTATATATATATATGGATGTATAATAAGAACGGCGGGAGAGTGTTGAGTACTGGCACGGTGCATGAGTACCGGAGTACCGCCAGCATGCCGGTACTGAGCAAGAAGTACCGGTACTCCATGGGTCAGAACCAGAAGTGCCGGTACTGCGTACCGGTGAGTACCGGCCCAATTCCAGCACTGCATATTAAGTGTTAGACATTAGAATTGACTATTCTTGTCTGTCACATACTCTTTTGTCTGTCACATAAATGGCGCAAATTGCGCAACTGATGCGGTATTGCGTTAAACGGAAATTATTTGGACGGACACTTTGACCGGAGAGATTTAGATTTGCCGGTCTTCAGCATATTTTGCCGGTCATAGTCCAGTAATTACCGGCTAACGGGAACTCTGGTGCACCCACATGCACTATTTTTGTTTTTATAATGCTGTTGTAAATACTCCTGTTGTCTGCTTTGTTCAGACTTAAGTCATGTGTGTGATTCCTCATTCAGGACATTCAGTGTCCTTTTTTTAACAGAAGACCGTTGCTTGAAGCTGCAGCTAGACTGCAGAAGTATTAGTTTTTTGTTTTTGAGGATAGAAAAATGTCACACACAGATATAGAGAGGCTAGACCTATACAATTTATTAATTATGGTTTATAATTGTATGTCAAGACGAAGAAGAAGAACATATGGCTGCACTGTTCAGTGTCAATCCTGTGGAGATGGAGATGGAGGTTATACATCTCCAAAATAATGTTCAGCTGAAGTCTCAGCAAAACTCACAACATTTCTGGAGCCTTGTAGACCCAGAAAACTATAAGAACATTCACCAAGCAGCACTGAAAATGTCTGCTTTATTTGGCTCTACATCCCTTTGTGAAGCAGCTTTTTCTGGCATGAATGTCATGAAATCTAAATACAGAACAAGACCGACTGATGAACATTTAAATGACTCTATAGAGTGAACCTAAGTGGGTACTCCAGCTCTATGATGGACTCCATGCAGCGTCAGTCATCTCACTAACTGTAAAAAAGAGTGAATGCACTTATTTTACACGTGCCATAAGATGCTTGCAAGGTGGTGATTAAGGCGATGTATTTACTATGTGGGCCATAATAAAAAGTGAAAACATTGTATTTTTCTCTTGGACATTTATGTGAATCTTCAGTGATGTAAGTTTACTATGTTGTCCATATTAATATGTGATAAATTGTCGTTTTCTTGGACTTTGATGTGAAGTTAAGATTTTAGATAAGCTTTAGGTAGCCTATTGCAATTTCACACGTGTACAACAGTAGCTTAATTCAACTGATGAGTGCTATGTGAATAAATGTAAGCGATGCGATGCAAGTAGCTCTTGGCCACTTTCATTTTTTCAAAGTAGCTCTCAGGTGGAGAAAGGTTGGAGACCCCTGCTCTAGGCAGATTATCCAAAACCAAATGTTTAGCAGGCTATTTTGTGTCAAGATCCCATAACGTCTGCTGGCACAATACAAGAAGGTCTGGGAGAACAATCTAAGGTAGACTATTTACGCTTCCCAACACTCAACATTAGTCTAACTACCCCAACAGGCCTTTACGGACGGTTATCCACCGTTTTACAAGGCTGTTGTGGTAACAGACGTGCAAAACAAATGGCCGAGCGGGCTGTCTTATGGAAAGCAGGCAGGGCACAGTGGGGCTACAGTGACATTTTCCCCACATGCAAAATCATGCAAAAGGTAAATACTGAAGCGGAGGGATACAACCACTATTGCAGAACATGGCCGTCACCTCCGTCATGTCCTCTCGCAAAGACCAGCCCACTTTTGCGAAACCGCGCTCTGATTGGACGAAAGGCTCGCACGCCAGCTTCTTATTGGATTACCGACGGGTCAATCACGGGCTAATTTCAATGACGTCGATCGTACACTGGGTTCGCTGTATCGCCGGGGTGGACAGTATAGTTACTTCAACATGAAATGGAATAAAATGCCGCAGATTCATGTAAATAGAGACGTCACCTCAGCGTAATTAATTACTGCTTCGTAATTAAGACCTTAAGACATTAGGAGCACGTGTTGACTGGCCTATTTTCGAGTTTTTATCAGCAATATTTCAGGGTAAGTGGAGTGATACATTTCCTTCCTGCGTCTTTTCTCCTCGCACAGAAGCTGACCTGCTAGCTTTACAATTTAAATAAAGCAAAGTAATTATCCTAAGAATCACTGTATTGGTTTATATAACATATAGAAATAGTCTGTTTTTCAGTACTAAATGTACGTAATGTGATTTTAAAGTAGTGCGTGCTACAGCTTGCATAGCCGAGTTATATGGAGAGGAAGGTAATGGCTGTCGGTCGACTCGTAACTTGAACATTGTGAAATGGCCTGTTTAGAGTAGCTCGTCCTTTGCTCTGTGAATCATCCCCGGCTGTGGTGACTCAAACGAGGGTAGGCCTATTTGGTTTGTTAAAAATCAGGATATGATAGTGGTATTAGCTTCCAACCTGTCACATTAGAGCCAGTATGGTACCTGTCTGTCTGTCTGTCGTGAGTGGGCCTACTCACTCAGTCTCCATCTGTCATAGTTTTTGTAGCCATGAGTCCTGCTCACTCTCTACAAAAAACTAACCTCATGTGGACCTCGTATATCAGATCTAGCATGGTCAGTAGTTTCATGGCATTATGATGAAAACAGACACATACTTTATCGGCTTTTTGTTAAAAGCTGCTCATTCAGCTGCATTTTTCCAGATTCCTTTTAACAACAGCCTCAAGAAAAAAGATACTTTATTGATACGTTTAAGTTTGTTTGTGTGGAGTGCTTATGTAAGATTGTGTAGACTAGACTGATATTAATAATGCCAGGCAGCAATGCTGTTGGCTAAAGGGCATTTGCATGGCTTTATTTACTGTAAGTCTGACTATATTACTTGTACCATAAGAGGAATCCTAGTAAATGTAGGGCACAAGTGACGATTTGAGCATGGGGATCTATGTATTCAGTACAATGGACATAAGCAGCTGTGGTTTTGACTGATATCAACATCTGTACAGTCACAGTGATTGATTGTTGTGGATGACACATTTCAGCAATCAGTTCTCCATCAGCAGCAGGTATATTGTACGTTTTTTGGATTTGCTGCTGAATCCTTATTTTTTGTTAAGTCAAAGCCAAGTTCTCCGTATCAAAAAGATTCATATTTCTGTGTTTGCCTCACAGCAGGATCAACAACTTGGCTGCCCACAGACCTTGCTACAATATTATTAACAGAAGTATTTTATTAAAATGCTTGAAATAACAGCGTTATTGAAACTTGCACTTCCTATGGGTATGATTTTAAGCTGACAAAGCCAGTAGTGGTGGCCAAAATGAACAGGATTAAATCAACCAAAGGTTTCTCAAAGTCCTCAGCAGCATCTGAATGTGCTGTATTAAACAGTAAATGCAAAGGCAACATCTTTTATTCCAAGTTTCAGTCCTCTGTGTGGGGCGAAATACTTCAGGTCTGCCTAAAAAGTTGTTATTGATATTCTCAACTACTCAAGCATAATCCTGGGTGATTTACTTTCTATATCCTTTTTATTCTGTTAAGTGGGAGGGACAGTAAGACCTTGGGGCTTTCATTGGAGGAGTTGTATTGATTTGTCTGCTAGAGGTTGTTTTAAAGCAAGACATGAGGAGTCAAGTAATAAATGAAAATATGTTCTTATTAAATAGTTTAACTAGGTACTATGCTTTGAGGTAGTGTTTTTTGATAGCAGTGAGCTTGTTACACAGAACTAAGAATACTGTACGTTAGTAAAACTATTTTTTTTTGGTAATGGTTCAAATAACGATCTGTTTGAAAAAAGTGCCAGCTTTAATCGTAGTAGGTGGCATGTGCATCTGACATTTAGTGTTGGTTACTCTTTAAGTTGGTTGAAATGTAGTCCAACCTTTTTGATAAGAGATTTTTCATGCAAACATTTTATGATTTCAGCTACCTGAACTCGAGAATTTGCGCCTTTTTGATTGATAGTAAACTAATTTAGTTTTGGACCGTTTGAATTTGAAGAGACCACCTATACATTACAGTGGACATGTTTCATCATTTTCTGACATTGAAGACAAATCGTTCCAAACAATTATCAGCAAATGTACTGATAGTCACATGTCTTGTTCGTGTAATTCTTAAAGGTGAAATAAATACATGAATGTTTCATCCCTACATCTTACTTTTTATTGTCAGGTGAAAGGTTGCTGCAGAGTCACGAGACTATGCAAATGTAAATCAACGCTCTCCATCTTTGGGGAGTGGAGATTGAGCCATTAAGGCCGTCCTAAAGCCCAGTCTGAGGGATGTGGATGGCCAAACTCCACTGCAAGTCATGTTTGAGGCTCCAACCACTTATCTCAGGGCTTTGGCACATTTCATTGGCCAGTGCATAATCCGCTAAAGGTCATAGCCACTAATTACACTGCTCCAAAGCAGACAGATGCCTACCCTGAGCTTGATTGCGCCCTCCTTCATCAGAAGACATTTCAAGGGTTGCATAACCATCACTTGGATGATTCCAATAACATGTGCGTGGCTCACTTTGGTAAAAGAGTGACCAAATGTATGCCCTCTTTATATAACGAGGCAAACCTTGTCCAAGCAAAAGTCATTCATTTTCTGCTATTATACACTACTATCTAGTGTCTTTTTAGATTGACTTTTAAGCTGTCTTTCTCGGCTTCAATGGCTCTCCGTATGTCACGGAGCGAGCTTGGCTGGCCGGATGCAGGGCTCAGTTTTAGCCAAGCGGCGACCCCATTATCTTGGCGTCCAATCAGTCCTCCGGCCAGCTCCTAATTGAGCCATCAGCGCCTTAAGGGGGACGAGGAGGGAAGAACGTGTCAATTACAGTAATGAGGGGGCAGCCATGCAGAGGGCAGGCAGGGAGATGGAGGCTAGACAGAAGCCTTGCAGTGTTGCCCCTTTCTGCTCATTCTTCGGCTAATCAAAGATAATATTCTAGCTTGACAGTGGTAAAGTTACTTAAATCAGCAGGGAAGACAAGTTTTAATCATTTTCCCTTCTCGCAGTGGGTTATGTCTACATGTCTTGTTGTGCGAATTGTTTAGAGTTGGTGCCTTAGTGCTGCACTAATGAATGATGACGTCCAGAGCCGCTGTGAATACAGATATTTATAATGTATGAAAATCTCCATGAAGGCGCAGCACAAACCACATCATACATGATTCAGTCTTTGGAGTATTGTGTGAGGCTGTCCGGAAGTAATTGCTAGTGTATGTTGTTTGACAGCGGACATTATTAAGTGGGATTCAAACACTTTTAAGTTGTGTTTTTTTCTTAGGGCTGTTGTCACAGAAAATGTTACTTATATAAACTTATAACATTTGAATAACATTTTTATTTTTGACATGATCACGTTATCCAATACATTGGCCTAGTATGTCCTTTTACAGCAGTGATTTCCTACTGAACATACTCGTGTTCAGAACATTGTGAAGTAGCTAATATGAGCTAATCGAAGCCATTATGCAACAATTAGTCAACGAGTGAAAAATGCAATAACCTTTTGAAGTCATTTATCCAGCCTGTATGATTTGCTGCTTTTCTCACTGTTAAATTAATAAGTTTGGGTTTACATTACGTAATCCGTGGTAATTGTTTGTATAATGAATGTTCGTATGATGCTTATCTCAATGCCAGCTGCAACAAAATTGCCCCTTGTTATCTTAACAACACGATACTTTTTAAAAACATCACATTGAGCTTTGAGGCATGATAACATCAGTCACATTTCTGTAACAATACTAGTTTTGACCATGAAATAAAAAATAAAATAAATATGAGAGCATTGCCCAAAGTGACGTCCTTAAAGGTGGGGTAGGTCATTTTGGAGAAACCAGCTCGAGTGCGCTAGAATTTGAAAATACACAGCCGTTAAAAATCTGCTACTTCCTTACAGAGCCCCTCCTCCAACACACACGAACGAGCACATGACCAATGAGGGCACGAGATAAGTTTGTGCCCAGATGGAAGGCTGACAGGCAGGTAGGCCATCCAGTTATTTTAGCCGGGCCGGCTCAGATGATTGGTCGTGCTTTTTACAGCGCTACAGCTTCCACAGATGACGTTTTTTTTTAATGGATTTTTTGTCAAAGCACTTCAGATATTCATTGCTATCGGGATGTTAAGAGCATTCCATGGAATATAACAAAAAGTGTATCTCGAGCCGGTTTCTCAAACGTACCTACCCCACCTTTAAATGTTTTGTTTAGTCTGACGAAAAGTCACAAAACCAAAAGTTATTCAGTTTGCTTTCATAAACAACAAAGAGAGCAAATCCTGCCATTTCAGACGCTGGAACCTTAAAATGCGTTCAAAAAAGTTTCTGCTTATTTTTCTATTTATCAATTGATCAAATTCTGATACCTTAATCAGAATATCTGCCAATATACCGGTCAATAGTAATGCTCTCTTTTTGTCAAATTTAAATATGTATAATTCACTTGCTGTGGTGACTGAATGAATAGTGATAGTAATAACTGTATTTATTGTGGGTCATTCTTATCACAGCTGATTTATTTGAAGAATCAATTGTCTTCTGATAGTAACATCTTTTAAAAACGAGTTAGTAAGCAGGAAAGTGAAAATGGATTGCTAAGAATATGGCTGATACAGAAGGTTGAAGTTTCATATACTGTTGACGTAACACATGGCACTGATAGAATGACACTGAGATTTTCAGAGTTGAACATTATATGTTGGATTTTATTACAATTTCTGATGAACTCTCGAGCTGGTGCTCTGAAGTGTTTTCAATGTGGTCTGTGGGGGCCCCGTGTGCGCTCCACTGGAGTATTCCATCTGGCCTGACAACAATCCCACAGGAGAGCATGGTCATGGAGGGTTAAGACTGAAGGGGAAACTTAACACACCTGAGCCTTTGTGTAGCAAGGAGAATGGATTTCAAGGAAGCTAATGTATTTAGTAACGTAAAGGCTTGTTTTGTTTCCACTTTTCACTACAGCATGGAGACTAGAATCTTTAGCCTTACCGTCTTAATTTCAACTCCAGAGCTGGTGTAACACCAAACCAGTTCCTTCATTGGGGAATTTATACAAACACATACATAATAGCAAAAAAAAATCAAAAGTATCAATCATCTTTGACTGGTATGGTTAACTTCAGCTATGTACAGTATGTCGTTCTGAATATATAGCTCTCTAGACTGTAAATAAATCACTTATACATATTACATTTGTGTCGTACACTTTTGTTATAGTAGTATTTTTTTGTAATTTTAGTCTAGTATTTCTATTATTCTCTCGACTCTTGCATACCCCCTTTTTTACATTTCCTTTTTTTAATGCAACAAAACACCAAGGCACTTTCTTTATAGATCAGTACACTAATGGGCAATAACCTGATTCTGATAGAGGACACACACAATGGGGGAAAGGTTCAGACGATTAAGAAGAAAAACCGATATCTTCGTCCTCTATCAATCCTCAATTAACCTATGGGAATGTGAACAATAGCGACAAAGGCACATTTTATATACCAGAGCCCAAAGAGTTATCTTCAAATCAGAATAGCTAGAAATGTCATGTTGGGCATTTCTGGTTGAAAAATGTAATAATGAATCAATCATTAATAAAGCTGCCAATTACTTTTCTGTTAATCTTCTAATGAACTGCCGATGAATCGACCCTTCCTATCATCTCCAGGGAGCGCTTGATTTAATGTAGCCGAGTGGCCACCTTCAATGCAAACACCTTCAGCATCACACCTGAGCAAGTTTAATGAACTGATGAAGCTAGAACTGTGATATGATTAACTGCGCAGTGCTACCCTAAACTTCATTTAGGTTGGAGACATACTTTAGGGGAAGGATATGTGCAGCTACATTACTGTTTAGTTCCTTTGGATTCGTTATGAAGATTAAGTGTCATTTCTAATTCTAGATGCAATCAAATGCATAGTCTGCAATATATAATGTCATGTTGACATGACTAAGCAAAGGGAAACTGTTGTACACTGCTGTATAAAGATTTATAAATCTGGATCCACTCCACCATTAATGATGCATTGATGCCGCACAGCTGCTTACACCTATAACTAATGAATTATAATTCATCTTAAAGCTCTTAGGTTGTCTATACTGAGTCCGTTTCTCTGATATCTCCTCCTAGAAGAATGGGCTTTTCTTTGTGTAGTGTTGTTACGGAATGGCCCTACAGGGGCTAATGCACCCTGCGTGTAGAAAACATGCTGACCTTTTGCTTGTGCATCCTGATGACTCAAGTTTTTTAGGATTCACTCATCTATTATCCATCTACTCAATCAATCATTAAGCCATTACAAAGATAGAACAATAATAAATGACAAGAGTTTATGATTCATTGATGAGTGGATGGACACTCAAATGTGTAGTTGGAAATGAAATCCAGTAGTCCACAGATGTTGGACTCAGGAGCTGTTAACTGTCGATGATTACAATGAGTTCATAATACTGCCTTGGATAGGGTTTGTTTCTACATGCATATATCCACCTCTTCTTATTGTAATGTGTAGGAATCATCCTTCTCCTCAGCAGCTTTACCTGCTGAAATGTACTTGAGAGAGATATGCAACACAAACCTCTCCCGACAGTCACCTTGGAGACCGAGTAACGACATAGCACAGCTTGAGATGAAATCATAAACCCTTTAATGTAAATAAACAAAAAACCTCTCACTATATCATGGTTGTTGCTTCTTAAGAATGAAGTGTTGGTTAGACAGAAGCCATGATGTGTGCCTGTGACCCCCCGCTATAATAACACATCATTGCTGTCTTCTTTGTTATTATATACATTTTCTTTTTCCTCACATGAAATGATTTCTTTCTTTCTAAATGCGCGACCCTTATGAACTGATCTCATTGAATTATTTCCGTCACATGTCTTGATGTTGATGTCTGTGATATTTGAGTAACCGTATCTCTGTCTCTTGCAGGAGAGCAGCGCCCCCCCCCCCCCCTCACCGCAGCAGCTGCAGGGGAGTTTGTCACTTTTTCCTTGTTAACCAAACGATGAACTGAGGACCTCCACTTCTCAACATCACACATCTCTTCATCACACTCTTCGCTCTCGAGGCGACTGCAGCTTCCCCACACCTGGCCAGGGAAATGTGTGTGCACGTGTCCTCGGATGCATGACTGTGTCGGAGTGCTTTTGGGCTGAAGTAAGCGGTAGAAGACTGCACTTCCTCTCACACCCTCTGAGAGGCGTTTCTCTCCACTTGACTGACATTTGTGTCCACGACTGCAAAGCATCATGGGTAGGAAAAAGATTCAGATCCAACGGATCACCGACGAAAGGAACAAGCAGGTGAGTCTTAACTAACGTTACTCTTTTCTGTGGCTAAGTTAAAAATCCAGCATTTTATTTGAAGTGTTTTTCAAACTAAAAGTGGTATTACCCAAGCAGAACTGATTTTAAATAGTTTTTCGGAATATTAATCAACACCATTTTTAAGCATTTATCATTCAAATATATTGGAAAAGATGATCTTTATACTTATGAAAAGGCTCGGTGATTAAAAGAAACTTGAGTATCAACATATTAATATCACAGATGATACATCGTGCAGTTACTGAAGTCACACTGTGATCTTTGCCAGGCAGATTTGGGAACTCAGCAGTTGGAAATCATTCGCAATTTTTTTTTTAAATGAGTTTTCTGATTCTCAAGCTGCTCTATTGTTGATCTGGCTTGATGCTTGTGTCTTTGTCCCATTCAGATATACACATTAGCTGCAGTGAAAGGTCTCAGCTGCTCTTCAGCAGGATGGCCTCAGCAATGTTCCTTTTTCAGCTCCATTTGTTGTTTCCTTTCTCCTCACGAGTCTGCCCTGCATGAGGCTGGCACCCCGCGTCACAGTAGGCACGGTGTTGGATGAGTTTGTGTTCTGCTTTCATCACACCACAGAATATGTTTGACTGACTGATTTTTCTCAGTCCTCCACGTGTTCATTTTTTGTATTTTCAAAACCCAAGCACACTGCCATGCGTCATGTCTCTTTCTCTATTTCTGTCTTCCTGCCAAGCAGCCCAGATTTGTAAAATGCTGCACTTGGATCAACAATCACAGCAGCTCCGTCACCGTGGCTCTTGTTTTCCTCCCTAACCAACGTCTTTCTTGTTTTCCCAGTTCGAGGAGTAATCAAACAAAAATGTTAATTTGATATTTTCAGGGGATCTTTATTCCTGTTATCACTGTTTTTGTGAACTCTTCCCAGCTGTGGTCACAAACTCTGACAGGTAACTGTTTTTAGATTAAACCAAATCTACTACTTGGACAAATAGTGTGCAGCATTGTATGCATATGTCACTGAAATATAATCAAATCACTTTTTGATCATTTTTCAAATCAAACTTTTATAAAACATCTTAATCTGTGTGAAACAATTAATCAAACTCTTAATTCCCAAACTCTTGTCACCATGTCCTCTGTGCTTTTGACATGTGAAAATAAACGTATTCCCATTCATCGTTACGATTTTTCAAATTGTGCTACAATGTAGTTTTCTACCTGGACCAAGGTGTACTGGGTGTTCTGTCACATTCCTTATGATCCTTAACATCGAAGTACATCAATCCTCTTGTTTTTATATCAAATAATTCAGCGCAACATTATAGAATATGGGCAACAACTTAAATAAACAAATGTCGAAATGAACAGCCCTTCCTTTCAATGCATATTCATGTTTGTACTAGCAGTGAATTGAATCGTGACTGGTTATTGCTCGAAAACCAAAGTCTGATTGCTAGGGATGCTCCGATCCATCGGCCGCCGATACTCACTCTCTGCCGATCGATCGGTGCTCTCTATAAATGCAGATCGGGAGAGCCGATCACATGACGTAAAGTACAAGACACTTTTCTCTGTGCGCGGCAAAACAAGCTCGCCAAAGTGGCTTCACGGGTCTGGAAGTATTTTTTAAGGTGTCCGAAAAAGACAGTAAAATAGCGTATGCAACGCGTGTGAAGCAGAAATCCTGCAGCTCCGCCCGCTGTGACGGACCGGTGAGCGGAGCGAAACACACACTAAGAGTTAGACCTAACACACTTAGCTATTTGATCTACCTCTGGAACTAGCTAAACTAGTTATAAATATATTTATTCTTCACTGTCGGCCCCAAAATTGGCGATTGGAGCATCCCTAGTTATTGCACTGTTGTGCTGATAGTTATGAGTCAGTTAAGGCAATAACAAAAACAAGAATGCTTCATTACTGAGGCTGAACACTGCCTCTGCTGGTGCAGTGATGGTTCTGAAAGCCCAAGAGAAACAACAATACCATTTATTGGGTATGTTTTTCATTACTAGGCAGCTGAAACATTACTCGCATAGCATCAACATCTCTTCTCCTGAACTGTGAATTTCATTTTGATTTGCAAGTGTAAACCTCTTTTTGTGTGGATTACATCAAACCCAAGAATATTCATTATTTTTATCTCAACAGCAAGTGTTAACCCTTAGAAAGGGAAACATTGAGACCTTAGAAATAGTAGAAGATGTGAGTGAATGGATAAAGTGAGAAAGTTCTACACGGCAAAAGTCAGGCTGTTTACCTGAATGTCTGACCTTCAGTGAGTTTTCTTAGTTTTGATTAAAGCGTGTACTCAAACAACGCCCCGTTTCCCCCTCCCCATCTTTCTCTGCTCTTTTCTCCCAGGTGACATTCACAAAGCGAAAGTTTGGCTTGATGAAGAAGGCCTACGAGCTGAGTGTGTTGTGTGACTGCGAGATCGCTCTGATCATCTTCAACCATGCGAACAAGCTGTTCCAGTATGCCAGCACTGACATGGACAAGGTCCTGCTCAAATACACCGAGTACAACGAGCCTCACGAGAGCCGGACCAATGCTGACATTATCGAGGTAAACGAATCAAAGCAGCGTTGGTGTACGAGTCGCAAACTTGCTTGATTTTTCGGTCATCTAAAAATGTGTAAAAACAGAGACATAGCCTTAAAGAGAAATAAGATACCAATCATCCTTTTATAGAAGTTAACAAATTCCCCCTTTTTTAAAAGTGGAAGGCAGTAAGTCAAGTACAAGATCTGAACACTTATCTGACAACTTTTCAACTACATTGTGCAATCAAAATGTACTTCATAATGTCTATTGCCACTTTAATAAAACTCCTTAGTTCCTCCTTGTAGCTTTTACACAAGAACACACTTTTCCACATCATCTGGTTAAATTAAGACAATACAATTCTTGTATGAGAAACACCAGGACCAAGATATTTGACAATGCAAATTTAGAAGTAACCAATTAGCGGAGTTTCGGCTCCTCCTCAGGTAGTGTTGCTAATGTCTCACTTACATATTTAATCAACATTTATATAAATATAGGCATCAGAATTGAACTTGTATTGGAGTGTCAAGCAGCTGATTTTATTCTACCCTAACTTTCTTTTTGATAGACTTTGAGGAAGAAAGGCTTCAACGGGTGTGACAGCCCAGAGCTGGACGGGGAAGACTCGATCGACCAGAGTCCCCTGAATGATGACAAGTACCGTAAGACCACAGAGGACCTGGATGTCCTCTTCAAGCGCTACGGGGTGAGTCATCTCGTATACTGTAAAGACTGTTCTGCTTCTCTCTGGACTGTGGAATAAAAACACTTCTTTGTTATTATTCTGTGTTTTGCTCAAGCGCCTACAGGAAACGGCTACTGGGGTGAAGTTCCTCTAACCGGTTGTTTCACACTTTTTATCACCAGGTCTTTTACAGAGAGCTAGAAACTTCAGATCAGCACAAGAGATAACAGATGTATGATCAGTCACTATCATATCTGGTTAATGTTAATAAAGCACATTTCAAGCAGTTGAGGAGACGGAATTCTTTTAAAGGAATTGTAACTAATACTCTCTTGAAACTTCATTTCTTTTTGTTATTTGGACTAACAGTTTGTTGGTTCTTTTCCGGCCCTATGTGTACTGCTTCTGTCCTGAAAATCTTAACTAAATATTATACGCTGACGAAACTCTCTTATATCAAAGTACCCTGGTGGCCTTAAATTCATGCTGTGCTTCCTTTGAAGAACCTCCCTCGACTTAATGAGCATCATATGGCCCCTTTAAAGTGTTACTTGGCCCTTCAGGTGTATACATTGTGAATTTGTCAGGTAACTACATTTCATTTGATTTGACATGCTAAACCATCTGCTTTGCTGTGTTAAAACTCAAATGTATTCAAATGTGTCGCTTACCTGTAATAGAACCCAGTGGAAAGATCGCTTTTTAAGAATATTTAAGCTTATCAAAGATGTTGTGTATACTGTATGATTTCTGAAAAGCGGCGATGAGGCGGTGAGCAGTTTTCTGTGCGATGAAGAGTAAAAGTGAGTTTCTCCCTCCCGGCTTTGCAGCAGTCCACCGCTCCGTCCCAGACCTTCTCCATGCCAGTCACAGTGCAGGCGTCCAATCAGAGCACACTGCAGTTCAGTAACCCTGGCAACTCACTGGTAACTACCTCCTATGTAACATCATCATCGCTCACGGATACTCACCTCCTGTCGCCACAGCAACCGGGTCTCCAGAGAAACACGGTGTCTCCTGGGTTGCCACAGCGACCAGCCAGTGCAGGTGAGTGTCCTCAGTAGATTTATAAACTCGGGCAGAAACAGAGGGTGAAGACGTATTTAGGAAAATACTGTGTTATGTTGCGTCTGTTGTTACCAGGTGTCATCCCTTATTTGTTATCATTTCATGTACAGATCTGATCAGTTCGTCAGGAAGGGGATCACATTCCTCTGCACTGTTCGACTGTTTTTTACATTTGAAGTTTCTATTTCTGGTTTTTGAAAAGCTTATCATGTCTCCAGTCGAATATTATGACGTCATCACCCAAAACAAAGGCTTCATATTGAGGTTTAAAAGAAACCTCAATATGAAGCAGACGATACATTTGTAGCTTCATTCATAAAGTAAAGTTTCCTAAATCAAAATTGTATTTGCTGCACAGCTTCTTCTTTTTTTAAATGATGTTTTAAATTAATTCAACGATTTCGTGATCGTGTTTTTGTCTTATCTGAGCAAGACAAATTCAAGAAGTTCACAATCTGTGAAATGCCGGGTTAATGTGTGATAAAGAATCATTTTTTGAAAGTAAGAAAGAACTAGAGGAAAATATATTTTAAGGATGAAAATTTGATTAAACTAAAAGAAAAATAAGTATCTAAAAAGTGTGTGTTGTAGGTGGGCTTGGCACAATCTCCAGTGTGTAGTGTTGTTAAATATCACATTATTATGGACTATATTTCAGAACATGTGAAACCTTCTGGTGTTGTTTTGGGTGTTTATTCACATCCTCTTTTTCCTTATTCGAAAGGTGCTCTTCTTGGAGGCGATCTGAATCATTCAAATGGAGGATGCCCAAGTCCAGTCCGTGAGTCTTCTACTACTCTACTGCTGCGTTTGTTCAGATCCTGAGTCTGTTTAATCATTATTTGTGACCGTCAAGAGTTCCTCAGGTATCTGGTCTGTATTCAATGATGAATCCCAGCCTTCCTCTCCTCCTCTGCACCATCTGTGTGTGTGGAGTGAACAGGGAGGCCACCTGTAACCTCAAAAGACATGCATGGGATTCCCAGCAGCTATAGGACATCATAGTCCTTTATTTTTTTGTAATTCTTTCTTTAAATGTTTGTGTGGTCAAATGTTCTAAAGGGCTCCCAAATCACATGTATTTTTTGAAGAAATGTTGACATTACAAACAAGACTTTCCCCCTTTGAATGATTTTAATGCAAAGCTGAGGGAAATGTTTAATTTGAATTTGCAGTAACTAAATGCATTTTTCCTGGTTAGTTACCATAGATACCCATCAAAAATGTATAAATATTGCAATACTTTAAACAGTGGGTCATAGGCTAGTCCATTTTGATACTGCATGTGGCGGTAGTGGCTGAACAGAAATGTACTATAATAAAAAGTACAACATTGTTACTTAAATTCAATTTGACTCTCGATGAGGGCGATGTTTGCCTTTTTATAAACAGATGTATTCAATCTGTGAAATGTGTATACGTGAGAGCGTCTCAGAACAGAACAGTCGGGAGAGAAAGCTGTGGAGGAATATTTAGAGTCGGAGTGGCGTACCCCGCTGCTCGCATTCACCTGTTGGATTTTCCTATTGATTCCTGTCCATTCGCACCTCTTTCCACCCGCAGCTAATGGATACACCAGTGCCAGGGCCTCCCCAGGCCTCCTCACCGTTTCCAACGGCAACAGTCTGGGGAAAGTAGTTCCGGCCAAGTCGCCACCCCCACCTCCGAGCCCCCAGATGGCCAACAGCCGCAAGCCAGACCTCCGAGTCATCACCTCGCAGGGCGGGAAGAGCCTCATGCAGATGGTGAGCTCAACCAGCCTGAACTGGTCCTTTATACAATAAGAAGACGTCTCTTTATACCTTTCTGTTCACACATGTAGTTACCTGGGATCATAAATAGTGAGAGTCTTTCAAATCAAAACAACCCTGACGCTTGAAACCCTAGCAATTATTTGTATTAACTTCAGAGAAGCACATCTTCACTGGCCAATAAATGAAATGGAAACTCTACAAAAACATTGGGAATTTATATATTTATATTATAATATAACAATTTATATTATTTCAAAAGAAGAAAACTAGAGGCTGTTCGCCATTCCTTCTTAGCAGAGATTTGCGTTCACGACTCTGCGTTCAATATTCACTCTGGCCAAGTCTCAGATGAATCAGCCAACTCCCACTGACACACTGATAAGATTCCTCAGAGCCTTATCAGCTAAACATGCACCCACGTCTGCTGACATCTTCAACTCACACGGTCCATTTAGAAAGGAGCTCTTGATTGTATCACGCAATCTTCCTAAGCAGTTTGACCACTACCATTTTGTGTGTGTACTTTAAACCTCCAATATCTGTATACTTACAATGGATCACATGACTTTTCGTGTGTGGATTGGGTCAAACCAACGGATAAATATCACCTGCAGTTGCTCTCAGAACTTTGTTTTGGTTTAAGGGCCTGCAACTTTTCTATTCAGTCTCAGCTCTGCCCTTCTTCAGCCAAAAGGCTCTGATGAACCCACTCTACCAGCGCGGCACATAACCTCAAACCATTTGATTACTTATTTCTGATCCTGGCAACAGGAGAAAACTGTCTAAGAAGATCTTGTGATACGACCAAAAGCTGCAGAAGGGACTAAATGGATCTTTTGTCAACTATTTAATGTTCTCCTAATGATGGAGGTGATAGGGCACCTTCTGTGATCTCAGGTCCTACACAATAACTTACAATTAGCATACTTTGAATGACTTAAAAGGTCAAAGTAATCTGCTAGTAAAAATGTTATGTGTATTTCTTTTCAAATTGCTCTCTTTACCCTTAGTTATGCAAATGAATCAAACTGTCTCTGTTACCCTTGCAGACAGAGGAGGAGCTGGAGTTGGTAAACGAGGTGATTCGCGTCAGTCACTCGCATGAGTCGACGGCTATCGGCTGTTTGCACATTATGAGCATGGTTACGATGTAGACTCTCATTGTTTTGGTCTTGCTCCACTGACATTTGTTTTGGCATAGTCTTCAACTTGTCATTCCCACCCGACTGCATGAGGTTCATGGTTGTGTGGTTAGGATCGTGATCTTTGCAGTGATTATCTAGAAACATGAGTTATCCTTGCTCTCATCTGTTTGAGCCCGGCCCATTTACTTCATGGTACGATATCACTTCCAAGCATGGGTGTCTGTTCACTTGGCATTGTGGTATGAAGCGCCACGGAGCATGTTCCCCTGCACCGACGCTCATTTTCACCTTCCATTGAAATTAGAGTCAATCAGGAAAAACCCACCGGCGTTACATTATCAGCATGTCACATAGGAGTCGTGTCTTTTATATGGAAAGCTTAAAGTGTTTCATACTTTAGGATTCTGTGGCTCCTAATATATATGGTTGCATTTTGTTTTCAATCAAATGATAAGTGTTGTTAGGAGCAGTCAATAAGTAGATCAACTTAAAGTTAATCGGCAACTATTTTGACAGGCAAGAATCTCATTTCCAGAGGATAGTGATTCATTTTCATCACTCTCACCCTGCCTCCCCTCCTCACCTCTTCACACAGGGAGTTAATTGAATCTGGCCCATCTCTCTGGTGTATCTCCCCCCCCCCCCCCCCCCCCCCCCTCTCCCCCCCCTCTCCCCCCCCCCCCTCTCCCTCTCACTGTAAATGTATCCAAAGGTCTCAGTGGTCTGAAGAATCATTTCAGAGCAGAATGATGGCCTCTTTTGCTTTTCTGTATGCACATCTTTATTTTTTCCTTTCATGTGTGGTATAATTGATTTGACCCAGACTCCAGAGTGTCATGGTTACTTCAGAGATGTGTGTCTGTCAGTGCAGTTACATGATGATACGACCTCATGTGAGCAGTTTCACACATGCAGCAGCATATCTTACGACGGAGTATTAGGGCCGCACAAGAAACAAAACAGAGAGATTTTGAGAATAAAGTCATAATTACGAGATTAAAGTCGTCGTTTCATAAGTGACTTGAGAAGGAGACATCAGCGTCCTGCAATATAATGAGGAATGTGGAGCATCTTGTGAAGCAGTACTTTAGTTTAGGTTTCTCAAATAACAAAATACTTAATCTTTTGGCGCATCAGCTTATCATAAGTATTAAAACTTTGAAAAGGTTGTGCAAGAAACTGTCTATTTCGAAGAAAGAACCAAACGGACTTGGAGGAGATTGTCTCCTTTCTGCCGGAGGAAATGGCTGGTTCTTGCCGACTACAAAGCTATCGTTGGTTACATCTACGAGCTGTCCAAAGGGGATTTGTTGTTTCACAAAAAACGATGAGACTTGTAATCAAGGCTTTGGATCCAGAAGGAGTCGAACAATAGCCTTGTAGTGGAATCGGAATGAGCTCCCCATTGAAATCAGGACAGCAGAAAGCTTACACATCTTCCGGCGCAGACTGAAAACTCATCTCTTTCGACTCCACTTCGAGCGATATAATTATTAACAAAGCACTTATATACTAATAAAGGACTGGCTTATCTAAAGCAGTTGAGTAGCACTTGAAATGTTTTGGCTCTATGAAACCTGATGTACTTATATGATTCTGTTTTCTTAAGTTTGTATCTTCCTGGTCGAATGCACTTATTGTAAGTCGCTTTGGATAAAAGCGTCAGCTAAATGCAATGTAATGTAGTGTAGTCGGCCAGAACCAGCCATTTCCTCCTGCAGAAAGGAGACAATCTCCTCCAAGTCCGCTTCTCAAGTCACTTATGAAACTACGACTTTATTCTCGTAACTATGACTTTATTCTCGTAAGGTTACGACTTTATTCTCGAAATCTCTCTGTTTTGTTTCTTCTAAGTGTGGCCCTAATACTCCGTCGTAATATCTGTTGCCCCTGTGTGAGAAATAAGTACAATCTTGATGTTCAAACACTAAGCAAGCAGCTGGTGTGTTCAGAAAGCTCCCAGGCAGCAAACTGAAAGGCCTGCAGTGACATCCACTGGAGAAACAGGATATTTGCTGCTCATTCAGTTCCCATGTTTAAGACTTGGGTCACAATAGTTACAAAATAACAATCAGTTCCTGTTTTATTCTGCATACATTTATAGTTTACTGTGGGACTGTGTAATGCATTCTGAAATGTTGTCAATCTCAAAGTAGAATATAAAATGTTGCATGTACACTTTGTAAAGTATGGCAGATGGAAGAATTGCATTTCTGGAATGTGTAGGTTGAGCAATGACTTTATGTATCATTAAAATAATGAGAATATTATTGATCATGTAAATAATTGTTTGTTGCAGAACCCAATAGTATTATATAGTCCCAATACTTGATGAAAAACCTACACATTTCTTGTGAAAAATTATTAAGAAATGAAGTTAGTGTGAGTAAGTAGTGAATGACACTTTCACAAAATGATACATTAAATTAATGTTATTCGAAGCATTAGGTATTTAATTTAAAGTCTGAAGTAAAAAATGTAACCCACATCGTGGCCTTCATTTTAATACATTATCTATAAAGCATAATTTCCATGGTTAGTGTGTCTCTTTTTTTCTAATCTTCTGTCGTCGCTATTAAATAAACGCATACATTGCACTTTAAAAAATCCTTAAACTCTTAGATAATTATATCTGATGGTTGAACAAATTGCCTTAATGTTATGAGTTATGGCGTAATCCAAATAAAGAAACTTTTCTTTGATGCATGACATGAAGAACCTGCTGACGGTAAATCCTCCTGGCTGAAATGTACTTATGAAGCCATAAACACATTGTCATTCCCAGCATGTCAGAATGCACTTTACTAAAGTGACTCTTTCAGCATGAGGCCACACAGGACGTTGCTCCGCTGTGACTAACATGTCCGTGTCTTCCTCCGTCAGAACGCCCAGCGGCTGGCAGCAGGAGTGCAGGCCGCTCAGAGCCTCAGCACGCCCGTGGTCTCCGTGGCAACGCCCAGCCTGCTGGCTCAGGGTCTGCCCTTCTCCGCCATGCCCACCGCGTACAACACAGGTGAACTGAACACAGCAGCTCAAATATCCTCTTAGTTAAGGGGAAAAGCAACAGGCTGAAGTAGCTATTCTGTCGGCTAGTTTGTTATTTAGTCTTAGTTCTTTGTCAAAGTCTTTTAAAATCTGAATATAATGGAACTTTTCAGTCAATGTCACTTTTTATTCTTTCTACAGAGCCCTTTTTTAAATTAAACTTAAGTAAATGAGTTTGACTATATCCTTCTGACTGGGCTCATTATGTGTTAACATATATTCCTGACACAGGAAATGTCTCATGTGTTTTTTATTTATTTTTTGAAATGCATTTTAGTCTTGTCTTTTGTTCATCAACAAAATATCATGTTGATATTGTCACAGTAGGAGTTTAGGGATTGTGGTGCTGTCTAGTCGTGTTTGTCGTCTCAGTAATGCACAAACTTATTTAGTCATAGTTTAAATGTTTCTCCTACTTGTATTCATTTACCTCCATAGTTCATTAAAAGTGAATCAAATCACATTTTTAAACCTAAGAAATTAAATATTAGATGTGAACTTTGTTGTGATTTTTATTTTTGTATCCCCTGTCAGAGTACCAGCTGACCAGCGCAGACATCACTGCTCTACACGCTCTGGCGTCTCCTGGCGGCTTGCTGCCCACCAGTGTGTCGTCATGGCAACAGCAGCAGGTTGTTTCCCAGCAACAACAGCAACAGCAGCAGCTACAGCAACAACAACAGCAGCAACTAAGTCTTGCCTCCCTCAGCAACTTGGTGTAAGTATTTTCTTCATTTTCTGCACCGCGCTGCGTCTTTAATTTCAATCAGTTTCCTCAAAACTGCTCCGACACTCGCGTCCCGCCTCAGGGAAGATGGTGGTGGCGGCGGCTGACATATTTATGGTGTAAAAGCTCTGTCTCCTGACAACCCTCATAATACTTTACTACTGACCTTCGCTGTCAGCTTGCATGATATCCATACCATGACCTTTTTATACGCCAGCAATTCACATTCCTCTTTAGTGAATTGACCTCTCACCAGCATCTCACCATCTCAGCCTCTTCATAACATCAATCTGAATATCTCCTACTCAGGTTCGCTGGAGTTGATGCACTTGAGCGGTACAACAAAGATCCTTTGTTAGTGACATTAGTAACTGCAGAATGGATTTCTTATTAGAAACTCAACAGTCTGAAAAGCCAAAGGTGCTACCTCTTAATGGCCTTTATCTGATCTATTAAGCATTTAACCCTTTATTTAGGTCCCATGTACCCATATGCAGTTTATTATTTTACAGTATTTTGCCTGTGCATACTTTTTGTTATAAATTATGTTATTATTTACTTAAAATATGGAATAGAGCTTTATAAAACTATACCAAAAAGCAAGTTGCGTTCTGCCAGTGAAAAATGACGTGCAAAGACAAGTCACAAGTATTATCTACATGGAACGCAATTTGTGTTATCTACTGTAAACACCCTTGATAGAAAACGTTCACCTATTTTTTTCACCGTTTTATATATCTATAAGATTATATAAGATTCATTTATATTTGAAATCAAGATTTAATATGAATATTTCTTTAGTAAGCACGTTCTAAACAAGGTTCCAAAGGGCTTCACAGACATAAAAACAGAAACCACACAATTACAAAAAAGAAAACTGAGAAGCTTCTGTGTGAAATCAGAGCACAGTTTTGGCGTGGCGAGCACTGAGCAGGCTCCAGTTTTGTCTCCTGCAGCGTGAACACCAGGTCTTGAAGTGTGTCTCTCTCTCGTCCGCAGCATGTGGGGCGTGGACAAACAGAGCGATCTGTGTAGCCAGGTGTCCAGTCTGGCTGCCAATCTGAGGTGAACAGCCACTGCTAGTGTGTGCGTGTGTGAAATGTCATGAGCTTGTCTCAATCCACTTTAAAGAGCTTCTATCCAAACGACACACAGTGAACGTTAAGGCCATACTTTGTGATTAAGAAAATAAATAAGTGGTATTTAACATCAACTTGTTTAGCCTAAAGAAATATAAAGGCTGGTTTTAATTTAGCTCACACAATAAGGTGAAGATACATTTTCATTACGATACTTCAGTTAATACATATTACAAGTATTTGCTGTATAGAAAATGAGTATCATTTTTTAAGGGCCTCTGTAAAAAAAACATACATTTCAAAATACATCACTGTCCTTTATTATCTCATTTATTCCTGAGTTTGTAGATCAGAAAACAAGATTTTCCTCGTCACATAAACTCAGCAGATTAGGGTTTTTTATTGTTTCTGAAGACATTAATAACATTATTGCTGTAATAATGTGCAATAATGTGTCACCCTTCTCTCCACACATGCCTTCTAATCCACCTCTCCTTTTGGTTTGGGCTCAACATCTTGTTTTCTCCCCACAGTGTTGGCTCTCCGTCCAACCTGCTCTTGGGTAGAGATGAGTGGTTGGGCCGGTACTGTATCACACTTCCTTTTTCCTGTCTGTTCGCTTCTGGCTGCCCCCCCCCCCCACCACCAAGCATGTCCGCTGCTGTCTGCAGTCAAACAGGAAATGAGACGTAGTTCCGGTTTCACCGCGTTCTCTAACCCGCTTCATCATCTGTCTTTTCTTCACATCATAGCTGCCTCACTGCGACCCACCCTGTCACACCAATCATTTCACGCTTCCCGGGCTGTTGTGTTGATCTTTTGTATACCAGTGGGGGGGGGGGGTTATTCTGCTTTTAAAGGCTCGGAATTGATTATTGATTAATCGAGTGTTGCTTCTCCCTGTTGGTGCTGTGCCTTGTTTTTGGAGTTTTTGTCTCGACACGTTGACCTTCCAGTTTCTTTGTACGCCTTTTTGTAAAGTAGCTAATCATTTGAATGTTTTGTTTTCTCGCCTTTGTCCCTCCCCCTCCATTGTCTCCCTCTCTCTGTGCCCCCCCCCCCCCCCCTCTCAGGCCGGTGACGCACATACCTCAAGGCGCCATGCTGACCGTCAACACCAACTCCTGTGTGAGCATCAAGTCGGAGCCCGTGTCCCCGGGGCGGGACCGCAGCACCCCCTGCCCCCCTCCGTCTTCATCCATGCAATCCTCCACCTCAGGGGGGGCCATCCTGAGTGCTCCCCCCCAGTACCCGGGCTCCCTGCTGTGCCTGGAGCCGCCGACCGGCCGCTCGCCCGCCGACAGCGTCAGCAGCAACGCCAGCTCCTTCGAAGGCAGCGACCGCGACGACACCGGGGCAGCTGGTGGAGGAGGGGGGGGGGGGCAGCGCGGCCGGTGCTACAGGAGGCGGGGGTCCCGGCGGACGCCCCGACTTCAGCCCCTCGGCGGAGCTCCTCAGGGCGTCGAACGAACCGGATCAGGAGGGAGGAAACATCAAGCGCATGAGATTAGACACCTGGGTCACATAGAGCCGCTCTGAACCCACTGTGGAGTTCTGGTGACACTTAGACACACACACACACACACACACACATCCTTTACACCCCCACTGCCCCCACCTCACTGCCATGTGACACTATTATCACACACCTGCCTCTGTCCAAAATTATACAACTCAGCTGCGTCTTTGCCAAAAAAACATTTTAAAAATCTAAAAGTAAATCAGCTGGATGTCCCGTGTAGATCCGTGAAGAACGGACGGTAGGTTTTTAAAGACTTCTTGCTTGAATGGACTTCGTAGTCATTTGTTTTGGTAGAAAATGAGGTGTTGAACTTTTTCTTTGTTGCAATCTGACAAAACCATGCAAACATTAATCTCTCACATGGTTTCACCTTCATGTATTTACATAGACATTGTTCACGGTGGCGTGTAGTCATTATGGGACTTGTACGACTCGCCGCTTCTCGCTCTTTGAACGTCGCTCGGATCGTGTGCCGTCCATCCTTCCATTAGTCACCTCCTAACTGCACTTTTGGATAGAACTTAATCTGGACACGTTTTGAGGACTGAGCATCTATCTGGCACTGAGCAAACAGATGCAACCAAGGAGTTCCCGGTGAAGATGTATCACTCTTCCTTACGCTGCCACATTTTCGACCACATCCCCCATGGCAGGCCCGAGCCACAGGGGGGACAGAGAGCAGCTTGCCAGAGTGCCAACTCCCCCCCTCTCCTCGACAACAACAAATGCCTCTCGCACACGATGCAGTGGCTGACGAAAGATCACTGTCGAGGACACGAGAACTAGAAACTGATGATGCTTTTCAGACGTGGCCGTCGCTCCCCCCCCCCCCCCTACTCTCCTCTCCAGGATGGAAGTTGTTGCACCAGAAATCCAGCCAGCCGCCTGGCTTATCACCAGGAATAGATGCCATCCTGTTAAATGCATAGTAGTTATTGGAGCCTCTCTTTTTGTAGGTAGGGAAAGTCTTTGGGTCTTTCAGTCCAGGTGTTCTTTATCTGTTGGTATTTGGAGTAAAAAAAAACTTGTTTTGAAGGTCCTTTAGTTGTCCAGAATAGGAATTCTGACTTTGTATAAAAAAATCACTCCTTATACAAAAGCTTTGATGTCCTCTTTAGCTCTCTCTAGCTCTCCTCAGCTCTTCAAAAAGTGAAAAGGAGAAAGACATTTTCTATATTTCTACCGCTTCAGTTGGCGACAAAGTGAAATAGCTTATCAGCTTCAACCACGTGTATGTACAGACGACTATATTTGCATAGACTTTGCTAGGTATCCCTAAAAACAAGCAATGTGTTGATTCTCAGTGGATCTGTTTGCATATATGAGTGTGACTTTGATATGTGGAGCTCCGGTGCAGGGGCTCCTCCACACTAGGTAGAGCTGTTGGGCCGACGTGTTTCAGTAAAACTATTTTATGCTAGTGTTGATGGTGTGTGCACTTTGTCATCATATTCTCCTTCCACACTTATTTAAAAACCCACGATCAAAGTAATATTGTCCATTACCACCTGCCCATCAAACCGTTCACTTATAGCGTAGTTAGGAGATAAAATGCACTTCTTTGACAGAATTTCCTCCATAGACACAGATTATGCCTTTTTTCACTTTGAAAAGAAGTCAAGAAATTGGCTACCAAGTGCTGTGTTTGTTTTTATAGTATGTTCTCTAGTTTAGTCGAAAACCATTTCAAAGTTGTGTGTATGAGTGTGTACATGGGTTGTTCATAGCCTACAAATAGGAAGTTTCTCCTGACTGCTCGACCTTTTCTTTCCCTTGAGAGGATGCTCAGACTGGCTGCTGTTTGTCGACTGTTATTATCTGCTTGAAGTGCAGAAGGTGGCTGCTTTTATGAATCGATGCCATTTGGTGCGATAAGTCACAGCAGAGAGTGAAAGCAGAGTTTGATGTCTCCACTGTGGGTTTGTGTTGAGACACATTTTCACCATCATGTTGAGGCTTTCTATGATCAGGTCATTTTTCCGTCCCTCGCTGACAGTGCTATGGGTAGCTTTTTACTCTGCTAGTTTCAGGTTAGTACAGTTTTTCTTCTGTCATTCATCAATTCAAACTCATGCCGGAGAACAATTGCCTCCTGAACCATTTATGGAGTAGTTCTGCATTTTGGGAAACTTGCGAAAATGCACTTTCTGATGGAAAATTCCATTTAAATATCAATACTGTTTGTGCAGTAAATCAGTTGGCTAAGAAGGAAATGGGAAAGTATCTAGCCTGGCTCTGTCTAAAGGTAATAACATTTTTCATAAAATGTATATAAATGAGCATTTTCACCCAATTTCCTTATACCTTATATTCCTTATATTATGAGTTGGATGCACTGCTGGGAATCATTCTGCAAATCCATAGCACAGTAGCTAATTTGGGCTATTTAAATGATGTGACTACAAGGCTAAACATGGACTTAACCATATTCTCAAGACAGAATATAGCATCAAGTTCTTAAGACAACTTTTTTCACTTCACTTTGGATGAAACAATCAGTTATTCACTGAGATGGTGATAGTATTCTTGTTTTTTCATTATTTTTCAACCTTCAGACAGAGCCAGGCAAGCTGCTTACCCCTGTGTTCAGTCGTAATGCTAAGCTAACTGGCTTCATATTTAACAGACTATGCGTGGAGTCAAACTTCTCATTATACTGCAAATGATTTCCCAAATGGAAAACTATTGCTCTAAAGATCCAAACTACCAGCTGTACCAGCCTTCAGGCAGAGCTAATGCATCATTTTATTTTTTCAAAAACTGATTTGAGTGGAACTGTTTGTGGGTGCTGATGGTCGACTGAGATGTGACACCACACTGCAGGTTCTTCATGTACAGAAAGGTTCTCTGTCCAACTCGCAGCTTAGTCACAAGACAATCTATATGAGAAATGACAACCTGCACCCTGTTACTCGTTGTGTACAATGTTTTTTAGAAACTCACTATTTTTGGATTAATTTGTGCTGGTGACAGTTCCATTGTTTATTATTATGATAATGATATTATTATGGAGCTTTTATTTTATTGCTATTTTGTGTAGGATAGTTTTTATTTTCTCTTCCTTATCATGAACATATAGTACTGGTTTCATTTTTTTTATTTTCTCTTCCTTATCATGAACATATAGTACTGGTTTCCTTTTTTTAAAACAACTTGCTGAAAATTGCACGATCAGTTCTTGTGGTATTAGCAAATGCAATGAAGGAAATGCCAGTTAAATGCTGCAATTTTAATTAAGATATAGAATATATTTATAAAAACGGGAAACAACTGAAATTAGTAATTCATTAAATTTGAAAAAAATGTAAATGCATGGGATACAGGTAACACAACGTATGTTACGTACAGTAATGATACAGGACATGCATCACGGCTCAGAATAATGTAGCATATGAAATACTAAAGATGAAATGTATAGCTAATATATTGTGTTGAGCTAGTCTGCTTTGGGTTTTTGTTGTAAAGAAAATATTTCTTTGTGTTTTTTGAGAATGATATACAATTTGTGTATATTTTCATATACAAAGTATGCACTGATATGTTATTGAAATTCTATACCGCTTTTACAAAAAAGTGTTTGTTGTACCAAAGTATCCAAGTCCCTTGAAACCTTACCCTTTTTGCGTATGTTTTACCGTATTTTATATATTAAATAGACAAACTGAGTGAAATGAATTTGACTGTCGTTTTATTTTTCTGTGTAGAAAAGTAAAATCACTTCTTAAAAAAAAGACAACATCAGAAACATTGGTTTTGGTATAATCTCAATATCTTAAAATGTAGTTTATCTCAGAGGTGCGAGTGTTTGTCCTCTGTCACTTTATCATCTGTTCTCTCTCTCTCTCTCTCCTCAGCTCATTGGCACAGTTACAAACACGTGTGATGAAGCTTCATTTCACACATTCAGTGTTAACAACACGGATACAATTAGCTCATCACTAATCCCCTCCTGTGAGTTAGCAAGAGTGTGACAGGAGCTACAATATAGACTTTAACAATTTAAATAAAATATTCTTTCATGCTGATCTTTTTAACCCAACATTATTATAATCAAATCAAGTTTTATTTATATAGCACATTTATAAACGATTTTTGGTCGAGCCAAAGTGCTGTACATACATATAATAAAAATAGCCTACAGTAGAGACACTTTACAGCTAATACAATAGCACAGATTGTTCAGAATATCAGTATGAGAAAAAACGACACCCTCTATCGACCCTCACATCGTACAAGGACAAACTTCCGGAGAAAACCCACAGTTTAGAGGGAACAGTGGCGAGCCGTCAGGGCCCCTTCTGCCTGTTCAGTTTCTGTTAGAATGTGAAGGGTTAAATGCCGTCTGCGAGTTACTATGAAGACGGGCTCGCCACTGAGAGGGAATAATGCTTTTATACGATGTCGGTGCCGAACATATATATGATTACACTAAATATATTTATGTTTTGGACACAATTACATTTAAAGTCATCCCCTTAAAGCAGTGTTTCTCAAACTTTTTCATTCCAAGGACCACTTAACCAATAAAAACACACTCGCGGACCACCTAACTCCACAAATATCAAAAAACACATCGTTTTTCTAAAACAGATTACAAATCGCCTGAAAATGCTACAAACAAGTGGCAACATGTGTGATGAAGGTGTTGCGCTGGGCTATATCATGCAATCGAAAGTGAAACTTAACCTCGCTCCAGTGCGGAGATATTCCCGCGAGAGTGCGGAAAACTGAAATGTATTTATTTATTTCAAATGTGAAATGTTACCAATATACTCACGGACCACTAGGGGGCGCTCACGGACCACCAGTGGTCCGCGGACCACACTTTGAGAAGCACTGCAAAGGTAGGGTCGGTAATTTTGGAGAAACCAGCTCGAGTGCGCTAGAATTTGAAACTATGTATGGAGTCAAATCTGAGTCAATTTTCGACAGATACAGCCCACTCAAAAAAAAAAAATATATATATATATAAGCTGTACACTTTACGAATATAATAGTTTTTTTATGGACAACTTTACCATTCAATCTCGTCCAACTGATTTTGCTGCCGTCCCTCCTGCCGGCTCTTGGTAGTTCAGGCATTTATCAAACCTGGCAACTCCGGGTTTCCTGGCAGCTGTCAATCAAAGTCCAGTGGCTCCGCCCCAAAGTGCCAGAAACTTTTCACGCACGTGTAGACAGACTCCGCGAGGCTGATACTCCCGCGAGCGAGCAAGAGGGCTGTCTCTCTCGCGAGCGAGCGCAGAGCCGCTCGCGGGGGTTTAATCTGCGCGCGAGGGTCATTTTATGCGCGTGTAAAAGCACATTTTCCGCTCGTGAGTAGCTTGTTTTACGCGCTAGAATATTGACCCAAATCTGACTCCATAGCAACCATGATAAGTGCCGTTCAAATTCTCCAAATGAAAGGAAAGGAGGTTTCAAACTTCCTTTATAACCTCCTTTAGTTTAGGAACCACTGGACCTCCCTAACCGAAAGGAGAGGAGAAAATGCTGCCCCACAATGCATTGCAGCCGCAGAATTTGCCATCACAACAGTCGGCCGTTCACGGAAACAACCGATTATGACCGAGAAATGATATCATGAAAGTTACGGTGCTTATTAAGCAATTTAAAACGTATATGGTAAGTTGCCAAAGTGCTTTTTTCTGAACGTTCATCAGTATTATAATCAAAAAGAGAAATATGAACGTTAGTTTTTACTGAAATGATCAAATAAAGTCAACATTTCACAGTCTTTACTGAGCTGTGTGGGGTTTGTTCAACTTTTAAAAGATGTTTGAATGGTGATATACACAGTGATAGATGTTAAGGACTAACGTTTATAATAAATACATTTGTATTGATTTTAAGATATTTCCATACAATCATACGTATTGGGATCATTTGTATTAATGCGGACCGGAGGGAGAGGGTGACGAGCATAAGTTTCACTTTCCTTTTTTATTTCAATTCCAACTTTGGTCATGAAGAATATGTTTCTCTGTTGTCCACGTTCATAAAGCATAAAGCAACAGCATCAGAGCACGGTGCAGAGTCTCTAGATGAGTTTACAGTAGTCCCTCGTTCTTATTAAACATCCATGTTGTAGTCCGCTGTATAGAAAACTGTAGTTTCCATAGTTTCCCCACAGCAGCAGACGCACATTCATGACGTCCGCTGGCGCATCATAAACACGTCGGATAGTGAAAGTGCATTCGGATTCTCTAAAGTACCGCGGTCTCTTCTCCCAAGTCCTTTTGAATTCTCCTATCCACTATCCCTTAACCCCGTGACGTTTCACTCAGAGGTCAAGGAATAGGAGATAGGGTTAGAATTTAGGAGCTGATTTTTGGATTATCGGAACGCAACCCTCGTTTCTTAGGGCTAGTTAAGCTGGGTAACACAAACATATCCAGGGTATATTGAACTGGCTTCTGCTTTACTTACTGGTGAACTGTCCTCAATAATTCTAAACAAAAAGGGTTTTAGTGTTTTTGTCCAGGGTGGTAATACAGTGGTGCATTTATTTAAAGTTACATGACATAGAAGAAAATAACCCTTTCATCAAAATATTGAGAGAAAAAAAAAACTAAAATCCAGGAAAAAGGTGTGTCGTATAGTAATACTGCATTGACTTAGAGTCCCTGTAAGCTTAACATGGAAGTTATTAAAACGTGAATTATACTTTGGTTTTTCTGAAGTTTCATTGAAACATTCATAAAATAGAGAACAAACACTAAAATATAATAAAAAGAGGTGTGTCCATGGCCGCCCCTTGCCAACTTGGGGCCCCAAGCGACATTGTAAGATGAGGCCCCCCCCCCCAGCCGACAGGAGTGAAAAAAAAATTGCAAATATAATTCCTGTTTATTATTATTATCAACAGTTACTTTTTTATACAGTAAGGTAAATGTGCATGTATGTCGTTCAGTATGTGTTTACAGGTGAATACGTCTGCATTTCCTGCCAAATACTAGCCTCAAAAAGATTAAAATATAATTAATGCAAATAAACTACTTCTACTAATAATCATAATCAATTCAATAATAAAAATACTATATTGTTTTATTATAATATAGTCAAGACAAAACATGCTTATAACATGCTCAAAAACTGATATTTCTTAAATCTGTATTCAAATGTAGTTCCCTCTGTCAGCAATGCATCAACAACTTGACACACATCTCTATCAGTATTTCTCTGTGTTGTGGTTGACATGATGATGACGGTCAGGAGTTAAGGGGAGAGGCTGAGCATCACCATGATGATGACTGTTAGGAGTTAAGGGGAGAGGCTGAGCATCACCATGAAATGTGCAAATTGACATAAAAATGAATAAAAGGGAAACAATGCTCCATGTTTTTTAGGCTGTAAACTTTAACTGTTATGTAAGCCAACTACAGTGTATCACTCTTCCTCCTGTACATTAGCAGATAAAAGGCATCACATACTTGAATGAATGGTAAATAAAGAATGCTGGAAATAACTGCATCTCCATTAGCCTATAATATATGCTATGCAGAGACTGCCTTCTGCATGTCGTGAATTGCAGCTGATGTTTTAATTTGGCAATTTGACTTATACAACATTCGCAAGTTGTACATTTGACTCATACAATAATAACCCACCTTCGAGTGATGCTCTAGTCTAGTTTCTTCATGTTTTGTTTTTTGCGCCGGACTGAAACTGTCTTTTCACCGACATCTCTTTACCTGCACTAGTGGCCGTATCAAAGCCGTGATTGGTCAGATGTCGATACATTACAACGGTGTCGGGTTACAGACATGCTCCCCTTGTCATCTCTCACTCTCACTCTCGCGGGGGGTGCGCGGAGAACTGCGAGGAGAACTGAGCGGAGAACTGCGCACAGCAGCTGAGGCCCTCTGGGCGGGGCCCCATGCAGCCTGCGTGATTGGCCTGTAGGGAGGGGCGGCCCCGTGTGTCCCACATGTTAATAATAAATGTACTTGTTGGCGTAGTTGCAACTTACCTCATCTGATCGCAGCAACCACATTTAAAACATGAAATTGTCATGCTGTTAGTCCCTTTATTTCAGAAACATCCCCTCAGTCAGATCTGAATCATCAGCCTCCGCACAATGTTGAGTATCATTTGTTAAAGCTTTATTGAAAAAATGCTTAAACTTGACTCAGGCTGGAAACATTTTCACAATAAAAAAAAAGACACTGCCCAAAAACAGACAACTTCTGTTGACATAAAGAAAGAAAAGCCTTTGATCAATAACACAAAGATGCATTCATCAGTCTCACATATACATATTACGTCATAAGATTACCATTAATACCAAGAGTGCAAAAATAAAAATGTGAACATTCATAAAAAAAAGTTAATTCAATCTCAAAATAATTTTGATAGTAAATATTTACAATATCAGTTCTTACTTTTATTTCTGCTGCATCACGTCGACACACTGGATGCCTCAACAGAAACACTTCTAATTCAAAAGCCTCATTTATATTATTTCACTGTCGATTTTGAACAGAAGGTTAGTTAAGTAATTAAAGCCCTTCCTGAGAGCATCCTTTTTTCATTTGCAAGTACACAGGAGCTTTTTTGTTTTTATGTAAACTTTTTCAACTTCCTCTCTGAACTAGCATTTCCTTTTTTCAATCCAGTGATTCAAACTACAAATAAACCCCCAACAGGCTTTATATCTTTGTAAGCAAAAAAGGCCTACATTTTTTTTATCAAAAACAAAAAAATCTAATCCTTGGGATTTCACGAAATCAAACCAAGCATTACCAACTGTCTTTTGAAGCACAAGGGACTCGCACAGCCACAAGAAACTCTGTGTTTGTCACTGCAGATAGCATAACAAATAGTGACAGTGGCCATTACTGGGAGGGTCTTTTGAGAGCACATCGTTATTATTTTAATAATAAAAACACTACCCAAGGAGAGTTTGCAGTCATATTTAAGACACAGAAGAAGGGATTCAAGGTGCAGGTGTGATGTGATGTGAAAAAGGTGTTTTTAGTCGTTTGTGTCTTATCTCCTTGTCGTCTTTTTGGACGTCCCCCTTTAACCCCACCAGCGCTGCCTGGGGGGAGGAGCTGATGTTGGAGGCTCGACATCAAACACTGACTCCGGCCCGACAGACGAGCAGATGTAGTACAGGTTGACCCCCAGCATGACCAATATGGGGAAGAAGGAGAAGCCGAAGCCGAGACTCCGGAAGCTGCTGCCCAGAGAGAGGCAGAGCCAGTAGATCAGCCTGAGGACACACACACACACAGTGTGAATACAGAACACACACAGTATGAAACAGAACAGTGTGAATACAGAACACACAGTATGAAACAGAACAACACACAGTATGAATACAGAAAACACACAGTGTAAATACAGAACACACACAGTATAACACAGTGTGAATACAGAACATACGCAGTATTACACAGATTATAAAACGGACTCCAAGTAGAGAATGAGTCCTTACCAAGTGAAGGAGTTCAAGTATCTCGGGGTCTTGTTCTCGAGTGAGGGAACAATGGAGCGTGAGATGGGCCGGAGCGGTACTGCAGTCGCTTTACCGCACCGTTGTGACGAAAAGAGAGCTGAGCCAGAAGGCAAAGCTCTCTGTCTTCCGGGCCATTTTCGTTCCTACCCTCACCTATGGTCATGAAGGATGAGTCATGACCGAAAGAACGAGATCGCGGATACAAGCGGCCGAGATGGGTATATTAATATTAGTTCGGCAACACAGTCGTGTTCGTCACCGTCTTCAGGCAAAGGCATAAGAGGGTTCTTACACCTTTTCCAAAGTCAAATTCAAGCACTTTTCAAGCATTTTCAAGGTGCATTTTCAAGCTTTTCAAGTATCTTACAGCTGTTGTAAATTACATATTTATATGCACATACTCAAATGATTATTTCCCTACCTCAGATGTTCTTTATGCTATAAACAACCAAATGTGTGTTTCGTGATAGCATTCTACACGAGGATGAAAAATTAAAGAAAAGAAAACTAAGTTTAATATTTCAAAATGAGTGATCTGTACATCTCAAAACCGAATTCAGGCGACCTTTCACCTCCACTTAATTAAATGCACTGGTTGCAAGATAAAAATGTGAGTTAATTGATTTTAGATAAACATTTTAAGTTGCAAACATTAATTTATAAGTTGTGTTGACGTAATAATGTTGGTAATTACATCAACATAATATTGTGTCATTTGAACTCTGATTTCTGCATTAATTGACTTCAACCTAAATTCAAGTTGAAGTAAGTAATGCAATTGGCTTGATAACTTAATTGTTCTACACCTTGAGTTAAGGATTTCAAGTCCACTCCCACTTAAGATGCCTGGACAAGTTCCCACAGTTAAGACAAATAGAAATATACAAAGGACATTTTAAGGTGAGTGTCATCTTTTGTCATTCAAATACAACTTGAAATTCAAACTCTCCTGATTGAAACATCATGTGTTGAAATAAACAACTGCAGTTCAAAAATAAAAATAAAATATTCATTCATTTATGTTTTTCTTATCAAAAGTGTTTAAAATCTAAAGGAATATGGACTGGTGGGATTGGTGGTTTTGCAATAACTATGAACGCTTTGAGTTTTAATGCCGCCTTTAAATATTTGATTCGGTTTTTACTCCTAACCTTTTTAACCTTATTTAGTAGGGAAAACATATTTGTTCAAATGACTATACAAATTCAATTCACATACCTGCCGAAGACAAATATGATGGTGAGCAGCGGCACCAGTTTGACCAGGTCCTGGCTGATGTAGGTTGCCATGACAGTGAGCTGCAGGAAGTAAAAGAGGAAGAGAGCCAGCGATTCGTTGACATAGTGCCAGTGCACGGCCACCTCTCTGTGCACCAGGGTGCTCTCGTAGAGGGGCTTCAGGGCGCTGTAGCGCAGCCGGGCCACGCCCTGCACCAACACACCTGCAGGGGGGGGGGGGGTGTCAGGGTTAGGGGTTACACACCTGGGGGGGTTCAGAGCTAACAGTGTCTGTTTTCAAACTTAATACGTTTTTATTCCAATGCATGATAAACTTTACTGAGGTCTTACCGAGCATGATGGGGATGATGGCAAAGAAGGCGCAGCGCAGAGTGTACACCACCCTGAGGGGGGTGCTCTGCAGCAGTGGGGACTCAAAGGGAATGAGGGCGTAGCCCCCCCACACCAGCAGAGGGAAGAGCAACGCTGCAGCCGCCGTCCCCAGAACCAGCTTCAGCTTCTCACTGCAGAGAGACTCACACAGGTCTGAGGAAGGAGAAGGGACACGTTCAATGGGGGGGGACCATGAGGAGCGACTGGAGTCATAGTGTGTTTCATCGTAAACGCGCCCTTTTATGCTTTTTGGGGTTTCCCTTTCCTGTAGTGCGTTATATGTTTTTTGTGTGTGTAAATGGTCTGCAAAGGCAAAAATCCCAAAGTTTATACCAGAGGGAGTTTCTCTGAGAAAAGTGTCGTGTATTTTACGTCATGTGATCGGCTCTCGCCATCGGCCTTTATAGAGAGCACCGATCGATCGGCAGAGAGTGAGTATCGGCCAATATCGATCGGCGGCCGATCGGAGCATCCCTAATCACAACAGAGCCGGCCAGCTGACCAATCAGAGCAGACTGGGCTCTGGTTTCAGACGGAGGGTGAAAAGAGGTGCTGCAGCACAGGCAGTATGTTACAAATAAAGACCTTTTTGAACATTAAAGCATGGAGACATGTCACAGTAGAGCAGGGGTCGGCAACAGGCAGACCGCAGTCCGGATCCGGACGCCGACCTATACGGACCCGGACCTATAATCAATACATTAATAGGGGATTTCAATTTTGACGGGACGATTCTATTTTAACCACTGCCGACAGGGGGCGAAAGAGACGAGTGAGCGATACAGGGAGAGAAACACAGAAGAAGAGACGAGAGCACGGCAGAGAGAAGCGGAGAGGAAAGTGTGAAGACAATAATTAGCGATACAGGGAGAGAAGACGGAGAGGAGAGTGAACAGGCGTGTTAGCGGCAGACAGGGAGAGACAAATAACTCTGAACAAATACTAGATCAATATGCATCCAAAACATATTAACAATGTGTGTGTGTGTGTGTGTGTGTGTGTGTGTGTGTGTGTGTGTGTGTGTGTGTGTGTGTGTGTGTGTGTGTGTGACTGGCATTTGTTTTCAGAAGATAATTATGATAGTGACGTTCGTTCCGGTGCACGTCTGACAGCATTTAGCACTACATCGAGATTAAGATTAAACTAATTTATTTTGGGATCACCCGCATATAGACTACCTATGGAGTTAGCCAGATGTGTGTAAATTACTGTTCATGGTCATTTGAAAACAAATGCCGGTGTCGGATAGACACAAACACAGAGCTGAGCAGAGCACACACACACACATCATGCGCCTTGGTGACTGGACATCTCCTTCATAAAACTAATAAAAGGGGGAGTAATCGGGCATTTCGATGTGTGTAGAGGTGTGTGTGTGGTTAACACGTAGCAGCCTGCAGTCACTCGCTGTTCTGATGAAGGTGAACACAGCGAAGGCGGTGCGTAAAAAGGCACAGCTCTCGGCACGCTGCTGCTGCACTTCTCAGAGGCGGAGTATACGTCCCGCTGCCTCCTGATGCTGCCTGCAGCCATTTCATGAAGTGAAGGAGGTTTTCCTTCTATAAAACAGCTGCGGGCAGCAGATACCGTGAGAGTCCCGGACATGAATTCATAGATCAAGGCAGACTGGTTTACTCTCCTGTTTTGCCAATCCGGTGCTTAAACAAAGGCAAGGCAAGTTTATTTATATAGCACTTTTCAACACAAGGCAATTCAAAGTGCTTTACAAAAAAATGAAAGACATTAAGAAAATGGCATTTAAAATCAGTCATTAAAAAGAAAAGCTAATAAAATAAACATATAGCTCTACGCCCCTGGCCGATATGTCCTTAAAATGAAGTCCGAGTTTGAAATATATCTCAAATAATGTATGCACTGCCATTTCCCCACATAAACATAACAGTCTGCAATTAAACGGTTGTCTCCTGTGCGCTCCTCTTCCGGTAACTTTCTCGTGCGCACGAGAGGCTGAGACCAGGCTGAGCCGCCGAATCCCTCGGAACATCATAAAAGCCATTTTCAACGGTTATCTGGTGAAAGATTAACTAGGCTACTGGATGAAATAATATGACTGGTATAGGTGCAAACATTAAACACCTTTTAAAAAAAATATTATGATAAAATATTTTTATATATTTATAATTCTGCAAATATTACGATAAACTCACAGCTATTTCGCGGCCCGGCAGTAACACCTCCGCGGCCCGGGGGTTGGGAACCCCTGCTCTACAGTACAGGTTAGCTCTGAGTGTTAGCGAGGCTTGCTAATGTAAACAAAAACGAGATTACATCCAAAACACATCAGGCATTGTTTCTGATAGCAACTCTCTGTGGGTCCGCCGCCGATTTGACATCATATCAGCAGCAAATCTGTATCCGCTTGTTGTAGCCCCATTTTTAAAAGATTTGGGTACGGAGGAAAAGAGAGAGGGTTTTATTTTCTGACGCTGCGTGAGTTCCCCGACACACGGGGGACACATCTTTCTGTATAAAAGACATCAAAAAGTGCATTTTGCATGATAGGTCTCCTTTAAGTACACTTTTAAGGTACTTGTACAATACTTGAGAATTTACATTTTTTGCTACTTTGTACTTCTACTCCACTACATATTTGTTAAATCTTTAGTTTCTTTGCAGATTTGGATTCATTGTGTGAAATAAAATCAACACAAAAATAAGACTTTAGTACACTTCTCCAGCTACCCTGCCGTGTACAAAGTCATTAAAGCTGCACTGTTAGCAGCTGTGATAACACTTTAATGCATCAATAATTATAATAACACATAATATATAATATTCTGAAATGGGCCAATCAGCATAATGAGTACTTTTACTTTTGGTACTTTAAGTATATTTTGATGCGAATACTTGTGTACTTTTACTTTAGGAACATTTTGAATGCATGACTTTTACTTGTAACAGAGTATTCCTACACTCTGGTACTTTTACAAGATCTGAGTACTTCTTCCACCTCTGCTAATAAAGTATCTTGACTCTCGTTTTATACTCACAGAACTTGTCGTCCTGCTCTCTCCACTCTGGATGAAACCGATTGGCTGCGCCGTGCTCCGCCTGCTGCTCCTTCTCGTCGTCCTCTATGAACATCCGGCTCTCCTCAAGAAGCTCTTTGCTGGACGGCCGCACGATGGTGACTTGTGGAGAAAAACCCATAGCAGCTTTATCTGACCTCCAGTTTGACTCCCCTTCTTCCTCCTCCTCATCTTCATCGTCTGCCAGGGAGCCTTCCCCTTTATCATCACGCTGCACCTCCAGCTCGTCGTCCCTCCACTTCTCTCCTTCAGGCATGCTCTCCCTCCACTTGCTCTTCATGCTGCTCTTCATGTCTCTGTGCTCCTCTGACAGGTCCTGGCTCCCCCCACTGACCCCCGTGTCTCTCTCTTCGGACCAAACTCCATCGTCGTTGTCCGTCTGAGGCCTGTCTTTGTCTCCAGGCCAGGGCAGAGTGCTTGGCTCCAGATGAGCAGAGCTGATCACTTCCTCCTCCTCCTCCTCCTCCTCCTCTTCCTCCTTTGAGTCTTCTCCTCCCTTGTCCGTACTCTCCCGTCTTTCCTCTTTGCTCTTGCTCTCTTCTGGCTTTTTATTTCCTGCTATGTGTGGCTCTGCAGGTGAAAGTGCATCCTCCTCGGTTAAGTCTGTGACTACACTGACTTGGCCAGACATTTTTTCAAGCTTCTTATCTTAATTTTCTCTCTTTTCAGTCAATACTTGTTCACACTAACTGTTAGCATAGCTTCTTCCAGCTTCCTATGGTCATTTTTGATTGATTTCTGTGTAAGGAAAAGAAGAAAAGAGTTTAAAACAATAGTGTGTTCTGGCTTCAGCTTCACAAAAATATCAAAGTTCACTGTTTATCATGGGTGTGTTGCACTAAATGGCTTGTCCTGCCCTGCAGAGCCAGCCATGTGTAGCCTACAGCAGGTAAGGTGTACGCCACAGAAGACAAATTCCTTTCAGGAACACTTCTAATATCTACATTTGTAACCAAAATCGAACTGTTGAATAGTGATAATATGACGCTCTAAAACCAGAACAAGTATCATCAACAACACATCCAGAAAGTGTATAAGAAGCTATGTGAAAACATCAGCATTATATACAATGCTTTGAAGAAGATAACAGAAACACTGTTAATTACATTACATTACATTGCGTTAATAAAGTCCAAATCAATTATTAAACATTTACAGACAACACTGAATAGTTCCAGTCATTAAGTGAGTAATACACTACTTGGCTGCATTCCTGCTCTCCTGAAACAGACTGGACTTTGACCGTTTGACATATTATCACTACAGGCGTTCCTTAGACAAATCTGATGACATTTTTACTGCTCTGTTGATTTGAGTTTTTCTTAGCATAATATGTTAAGTCTCTGGAACATTGGACTACCTTTTTCTCAATATTTAATTATATTCTAGGAAATAATAATGTGGAATAAGAATGTTAAACCTTATGTTATCTTTATTTCTCTTTTTTGTGTGTAGGTATGTCGGTACCAGATTTCAGAAATAAGTTTTGTTGTGATGAAATAATTAAACATGGCTGGCTTTTAATGGTGAGACTGAGTTTTAAACTATCATTGTTTTTAATCTAGTTTCAGGAGAGATGTGTTAATGTTAAGAAATATGAGTCATGTTTATTGAATTAACCCTCAGGAAACAACAGCATTTTCCCCGTGAAAGTGTCTACTTTACCCTTACTCTGACTTTGTTGTTTAAAGTCCTAAATTAGTGGCACGCATTTTACCGATACACTGTCACTTTTAAGTGATTGTTACATGGAGTCTGAACTGTGAACAGTCCTCTGCTGGTTATTTACTTCAAAACGTTGTTAACTTAATACCAAAGCTTCCCCCTCCTTGAGGTGTAGCTGGAGGCCCGGAGGGAGCAGGGAGGAATGTAGTTTCAGGCTAAGCTCAAACTTGTTGAGCGACTCTGTATTTACGTCGAGCATTGTATTACAGAAACACAGAAAAGTACTGAATTGTTTATGGTAGACGTACCTGCTTTCACTCTGGTCACATTACCGACACAATCCTGGGCTTTGTCGGAAAGAAGTACCGAGCTCACTTTAGTTGTTTCTCCCGGGGGAAGTAAAGGTAACCTGGCAGGTGAGTCCAGCTGAGAGAGAGGCGGAGACAGTCGCGAGGTGTCACTCTGCGGATATTTCCCCGCCCCCTCGTTGAATCTGACGTCATTCGTTTATTAGTCCCTTCGCACAAACGGTCAATTGATGTCCTCTAATTACTATTATTTGAGATCTTGAGCTTAAATGTATAAATCATATTCATTTTTTAAGGGATTCATCTTTGTGTTAGTCTCTGTTTAATTATATACCTGCCAATGAGCACTACCAGCGGCTACCACAAAGCTAAGAACTAAAGGCTTAGTACAGGGGTGGCCAACCAGTCAGAGGTTAAGAGCCACATGTTTTCTATGTTACTGCAAGGAGCCACATCAAACACACAGTCACTGATACCGCTTGTTTCAGTTTTTTGTTTTCTGGAGACAAGATTTCAACCACGTCACTGATTCATTTTTGTGGCATTGGGATATATTTTTAAAATCCTCTGGAGCAGAGAGAGGAGCTGTGGATTATTGTTATTGATTAATGCATCAGTGTTTCTTAGGGTCAAAAACACTAAACCCACAAATAAAAATAAAAGCGTTTAGTTTATTTAATAAAAGAGCACATGTTCAATGTGAAAAGTGACAGTAGTTATAGATTATTTGCAATTTGATGCTATATATATTTTTAAAAAGTATATATATAACACCTTGAATTTCAGGGGGGGCGCGGGGCTCCGTTGGCGGCTTGCAGTGCCCCTCCAAGACAATGGTAGGGGAAACACTGAATAGTGTTTAATCAACAATAGGTTTCCCCCCCTCAAAGGTGATTGGTTCACTGCATTGCAGGTATTATTGTGATTGGCTGTTGGGCCTCATCAAAATTAGACGCGCTGTCATCCTCTCATACTGACACCTGACACCACACATACACACATAGGGAGAGCCGGGACGAAAGTAACACGGGACGAAAGTAACGGAGCGATTTGATCCGAGCCCAAACAACTTTGACCGGCCAAATTACGTCAGAATGATCAGCATTCAATACTTAACAGACCTACTAAATATCAGGTTTAACTGTCAGTGTTGTCACAATACCAACATTTTGGTTTCGATACCAAGTCAAGAATTGCGATTCCGATTATTTTTCTTAAAAAACGGGAAACAGTCTTAAATGTAATTATTGTGCTTTATGTCACACCAGAATCATAACCATAACACAAACTTTTAAACAATGAGAACAATAAATACAATAAATGACAAGAATTCGTATTAAATAAAATTAATACATTTCTTACAGACAGGCCTCGTGGTGTCCGTAGGCTTGCCCTCACTGTCAGAGATATAGCTAAAATACTTCCAAATTTAGCTTCTGGCGTATTTTTTGTCAACAAGCCGAGGCGCAGCGGCAGTTGCACTCCCACTTGCAGCCATGCTTCTCGTTTTCTCACATGCTCTGGCAGCTAGCGCGTGCACGAGAGAGGGGAGGGATTTAGAGCGTGCTTGAGAGGGAGGGACTGCAGGCACGGCTGCAGTGCAGGGAGTGGAAGCAGAGCGCTGAACACACACGGCTCTATTAAAACAGCGCTTTCTCACCGGAGTACTTTCCCCCGTCATTCTTAAAGTACCGATACTAATGAAACGGAGGAATCGTAACGATTTTAACGACAGGGTATCGCGGTATACCTTTCAAGTATCGGTACACCGTGCAACACTAGTCAGGAGTCAGTGTCTCTCCCCCAAACTCACACATATACAATTCGATATGAACTGAAGAGCCGCATGAAACTAGGCCGCGGGTTGGCCACCCTGGCGGGTTGGCCACCCCTGGCTTAGTACATCCTTTTGTTTTGGGTTTATCATATAACTAATTATGCCAAATGCTGAATCATGTCAAGTACTGGTATTTAAAAAGAAAAACTACATTGTGTAAAGGTGTTCCAGTTTTAAGTGATGTATCAATCTAAATACACACACTGCTGCTACACTGCTTTATAAATAAAGTTGTATTAAGTATTGCATATTAGCTTAGCATCAATGCAGTCTTCAAACAGTATTGTAAGAGTGGTGCTGCTACACCTAAAAAGTTTCTCATTCATCGTTGATTTATCTAAATTGTGTGGAGGTAGACAAAGGAATACAAATAATCTGAAATAGATATTGTTGAAAATAAAACAGCAAGATTTCTTTTTTTATTTATAAGCAAACAAATAATTGACTTCTTGTTCAAAAACACATACAATTCAAATGTCTACTAAAATAGTTAGACTTCAGATCACCTTTTTTAACATTACAAACCAATAAACAATTTGGCATTTAGAAATGTAAAATCTTTGAACCGACAAAGAAAAAATGAATGTAAACATTATATACAAGTCACTCTTTTTACAAAAAAGACACATGTAGATGTATGTTTGTGATTGCAAACCAATCACATGAATTAATCTCAAGACAGTTTTAAAAACACAAATGAAGATGCTTCACAACTACAAGTAAACATTTAAATAAAAGAGTGAACTAACTATAGCAATAACTAAATAAGTAACTAAGTGGCAGGAAGGCAGTGCATAGAGCTTTATCGTCCTGCCAAGTAATGCAAAAGTAGAGAAGGAAGACACATCGCTCTCAGGAACCGTAAGTGATGGTACTTTCAAAGCTTTGGCAATTAAGGCAAAAACAACTGTGAAATGGCATTGAGAAAAAGTATGACAGTATGTATTTAGACATTTTATCTAGCAAGCACTCTCACAGATTCACGATAGAAAGCTGGAGGGGATAATCATCTGTAGATAAATCATGAACCCTTTCTTTGTTACCAGAAAATACATTAAAAAAAGTCCAGTCACACATTTTTTTAAAAGGACCTATGTCATGCTTTTACGGTTATTACCCGTCCCCTTGTGTGTTATGTAGCCTTTTCTGCATGTAAACGGTCTGCAGAGTCACAAACCCTCAAAGTAAATCCTGTAGCGAGTAAAACTCTAACACAGAAAATACCTGTCTATGCTGCCCCAGAACGCCTTGTTGGACATTTATTTTTCCACACACACAAAATTGTGGCGCACTGTAGGTGCGCCGCGTTGTGGGGGTGGATTGCTAGTGGAGCTTCGCAGATGGGGGTGCTGCAGCTCCCTCAGCACCCCCCTTCCGTCCATGGTTCTCAGGCTGAGTTTCGCAGACCCCACGCAACACCAGTAATAGAGCTCACACTGTACCCTCCTCACAGCAGAGAGCCGCGCAACGTCCCGCCAACACGGCACCCAGACCCCACGCAGCATTCTCATCTGTTTGCCCTTACTGGTGTCATTTTCTGGTTGCTAACGCCATTGTAACACATAATCACTGATGTTCCGCTGTAACGGTGGTGGACTCATCAGAACAGAATGGGCGAGCTGACCAATCAGAGCAAAGTGGGCTCATAGGGAGGGGGAGGTAGGAGCTCCAACAAGCTGTTTAGGACAGAGGGTGATTCTCAATGTCAAGAAAGGATGCTCCAGAGCCACTATTTCAAGGATGCTAGGTCATCGAGTCCCGCCGAAGGACTGTTCCAATGTCCAGGCTCCTTGGAATTCTACCGAGCCCAACGTCCTTCGTAGCGAGACATTTCTAGGCTGCCCATGTGTATCCTCCGCGTCTTAAAATCCCTACAATGCTTTGCGCACGGACCAATTTCCAAATCTTTGGCGGAAATCGCGCTCCATTTAAGACGGGGCCTCGCATATGACGCACACCGGCTCCACCATTCTTCGTTTTCCGAGGCTAGGAAAGATTCTTGCCTCGCTTCTGAAGGACCTGACTCGGAAGACATGTCCTACCAAGGAAGCGTCCTCCACATTGAGAAACACCCAGAGAGTGAATACACATACTAAACAGATATGCTGTATGGGAAACCAATGTGAGTTTGGAACATTGAACAATGTAAATCTATTCTAGTAGACCTCAAAAATTGAATTATGATCAGTAGAAATGCCCATGACATGGGACCTTTAAGCATTTTTCGGACTTTCTCCACCCCCCTTCCGAGTGATTCCACAGTAACCGTTTAACAGTTAAACTAAGCTAATGTTTTGGAAAAGACTAGTCTATAATAATCAACATGACAGTTTTAGTAAAAGGATATTAGTACTACTCGTATGACAAATAAAGAATATAAAGAATAAAAATCAAGCACAATAAAACAAGATGGACACGTTAGAGAAAACAAGAGCTGCTGAATATCTAGCCCAGCCGACGAACAAAATGTTTAAAACAGGATTCATTGACAGGTTTGTCTTCTATGTTTTAAACAGCAAGTACTACAGCAACTTTTTGGTCGGACCGGGATTGTTTATCTGGCCTGGTTTGTGACTTCAAAGCTGGCCGCCTGATCGATGAGCGATTATTCAGTGATGTCCTCGATGGACGTCTCTGCGCTCTGCTGCACTTCCTCTTCCACCGTCTGTTCTTCATTTGGTTGGAGAGTGTGGCTTCTAATTCACCTGTGGCTTTATTTTTGTTGATTGAACCCTTAGGGCGGCCCAATTTCCGTGGGGCCTCAGCATCACTTTTTGGGGGACGGCCCCTTTTTCTCAGGGGTCCAACATAGGGTTTAGGTGGTGAAGAAGGGCCAGGGAAATTCTTACGTAGGTGAGCGCCTTTATTGGATTCTGTCTTGCGAGGTCGGCCACGGTTTCTGGGAGGGGCCGGTGAAGTCTCCTCAGGAGGTTTGGGACGCGGGTATTTCCTGGGCCTTCCCAGCGGCTTCCATACTCGTGGCTTATTCAGCTCCTCTGGCGTCGGCCGGGGGTATTTTCTTGGTCTTCCTCTTGTGGCCGGTTATTTTCCCGGTCGACCAATCCTCCCCTTTGTGGCGCGGCCTACCTTAACTGGCACCTTATATGCGGGGGGTTTCTTGTTTGGAGAGCCTGTTGGTCTACCCCTTCCCCTCTTTTCATCTCCGCTCTCCTGTTCAATACTTTTTCTGGAGCTTCCCCTTAACTTCTTTGAGATGCCATTTGATGCTGCCTCCACCTTCCTGGGCCGACCTCTCTTCTTCACTGATTCCAGCATGGGTTCCTTATTGGGAGAGCCTGTTTCACTCGGACTCTCTGACTTGCGCTTCGTGGATCCTTTTGGTCGACCCCTATTTCCTTTCGGTGTATCAGCCTTTGCAGGGGTGCTGAGAGACTTACGTGGCCGGCCTCTTTTCTTAGGAGAATGTTCTAGTGAAGCGTCGTCTTCATCACTGGCCTCTTTCTGGGACCCTGAATCATCGTCATTGTTGTCTCCTGATCCTTGCTGCTCTGTGGGTTTAATGAGTTTTGGACGTCCTCTCCCTCTCGGGGTCTGTGGGGGTTCACCGTTAGAAATGCCCGAAACAATTAGGTTGACGTCGGTAACTACAACCTTCAGCTTCTTTGGCCTTCCCCTTCCTCTTTTAGATGGACTGTCATTGGAAATGTCTACACTAGGCTCTTCATCATTGGGCGCCACATCTTCACCTGCCGCCTCGGTCGTTATTATTTCTTCTTCCATGCTGTTGCCGTCAGCTTGGACTGCTTCTGTCAGCTTTGCACCTGTACATGGAAGATTGAAAAGGACAATTTATATATAATTCATAAAACATTTTTGCGTACATTAATTATATAATATTGATTATTTACTGGGTGTGAGTGAGCTTGAAAAATGTTTTGTGCAATACAAGTCATTCAATCTTACAATGAGAAATGTATTATTTTCGCTAATGTTTAAAATAAAATAAATTAACAAACTACTTTGATAGTTAATGAAACTTGGGACATTTCTCAAACAAAAATCTCAACATGTAACCCAGTGAAGATTTTATTGGTATGTTCAATCTGAATTTTTGATGAAAGATGTAAATAATATATGATTATTTTCCTTGTTGCAGAGACCTACAACTAATAATGATTTCCATGACCAAATGCTGATTTTTAAATCAAGCACTCTGAAAATATTTTAAAAATCTTAAGGGTGTGAATTTACAATGCGCCAATAAAGAAAACTGGAACCAGGGAAAGTGGATGCCTTCACTGTTGACATGAAGTCAGAGGTAGAGAAGAGACCATGCGAGCTTTCGCTGCTACATTTTGAGCAGCCACTACTGGAAATACTGATTCCCTCAGGGCACATAGGCACCATTTACCAGCAAAATGATGGTAAAATACGCAAATAGCTTGTAGATCTATTCAACAGCCCCCTTCCCCCTGAAAAACCCCCAATGAGTTGCTATTGAGTAGCTGGTAAAACTTCATTCCCCTAGCCTCTGGCCAGTGGACTAAAATATATATTTTGTAACTTTGATCAATTTATAAAAGCTTTAAAATTGTCTTTATATCAGTAAAATATTCGAATTATTCATTTGTTAAAAAAAAATGTCTGGCTAAAAATGTATACCATTACAATTTTGAAAAATAAATAAAAAGGGGGGAGGGGTCATAAACAATCTACGTAGATGACATATTCAGAAGTAGAATAAAGAACACATTTAAATACATGATAATAAATGTAAATAAAACGTTTTTGTTTTTTTTAAAGGTGTTAATGTATTTGTATCCCCATTTCATTTAAAGCTGTTTTTTGTACATATATTTAATGGACTACGATATTTCAGCAGCAGGAAGGCGCACCGATATTAAAGGAAGCTAACCATAACATGCACATGATTATCAATGAGTTCGTAAACTGCGTATTCAAAATTACGGAAGAGGATTAGGGCCACATAAAACATTTTTTTGTGAGGATTTGAAAAAAAATATTATTTTTTTTGTTCTGAGAAAAAAGTCAGAATTCTGACTTTAATCTCAGAATTCTGACTTTTTTCTCAGAATTCTGACTTTTTTCTCAGAACAAAAAAACATTTTTTTTTTGGGAGAAAAAAAGTCAGAATTCTGACTTTAATCTCAGAATTCTGGCTTTTTTCTCAGAACAAAAAAAAAACATTTTATTTGGGAGAAAAAAGTCAGAAATACCGGTAACTGTAGAACCAGCTTCACTGCGATTTACACATTGCAGATGGTTGTAAAATGACTTATTATGGTTTCCTCTTGGACCCCTCTGGCGCGCAGAAATTCACTCACGTCCTCCATTGTTGCCTACTGCAATGTGTAAATCGCAGTGAAGCTGGTTCTACAGTTACCGGTATTTCTGAGAAAAAAGTCAGAATTCTGAGATTAAAGTCAGAATTCTGAGATTAAAGTCAGAATTCTGACTTTTTTCTCCCAAAAAAAAAAATGTTTTTTTGTTCTGAGAAAAAAGTCAGAATTCTGAGATTAAAGTCAGAATTCTGAGATTAAAGTCAGAATTCTGAGATTAAAGTCAGAATTCTGAGATTAAAGTCAGAATTCTGACTTTTTTCTCCCAAAAAAAAAATGTTTTTTTTTTTCTGAGAAAAAAAGTCAGAATTCTGAGATTAAAGTCAGAATTCTGAGATTAAAGTCAGAATTCTGACTTTTTTCTCAGAACAAAAAAATATATATTTTTTTTCAAATCCTCACAAAAAATTTGTTATGTGGCCCTAATACTCTTCCGTACAAAATCAAGTTAAAAAATCTGGAAAATATTTTAAAAAGTCGTAAATCTCTCATACCTTTTGTGTGGCGCAGTGCGCTGTGCAATGATCATCAGATCAAGGGTGAAACCCGCCGCTGCTGCGTCTGTAAAGCCGTTGTGTCCTTGGGCAAGACACTTCACCTGAACTTGCTCCTGTGGGTATTGTCCACAGTGACCATTGCATGTATACAAATAAAGCGCTTTGAGCATCTGGAAACGTGCTATAATAAATGTAAGGAATTATTAAAAGGGTTAAATTAATAATCTTTTTTCTCAAAGTAATGATAAACCTGTGAGTTGGATGTGGAAAAGTTAGAATCAATATAGATGTTTTTTATTTTAAAGAAAATTCAGATTGAACATGGTAAAAAACTGTAAATTATAGTGTCCGTCCCAAAAATATGTTGTACTTATAGTGAAAACTAACCTTGGATGATGGGTTAGTAGACTAAAAGCTTTAGGAATCCAAAGTACAACATATAATAAGTACCCTGTATCAAGATTGATGCAAAACAAGTGATATTTGACCTTTTTAGACAGATTTAGCAAAAAAAACCTCTTCTGAAGCCATTTGGGTGGATTTTCCATATCTCTGGCCCCCCTTGCTGGATTTTGACATGTGACATATCTTTCTAACCGTCAGAGCCAATGGAATCGAGGGGAACTCACACATAGTCCTTATTTGATAATGTGTGTGTGTTATACTGCCTCATAGCCAAGACCGGAAGCAGCAGCCACTCTGGTAGCTACCATTAGCAGCTAACTTTTGCTCTGCGATTTTTACATAAAAATGGAATTATGGATTATAAATGAAATAATTGTTTTATACAGAGACGTTAAAAACCTATGGATTAACCGATTCAGCCGCGTTTTTTTCTCGTTTTAATGCCATTGAACACGTCTTTTGATCAGATTGACAGCTACGGTGAGACGATCTCCCTAGACAACACATCCTCACTCCCAGGTCGGCCTATGTTGACGTTATGTCAAGTTCCCTGTCGGCTTTTTCCAACGCAAGGGGGGGGGCCTTAGCGTCCATTTTCAACGCAAGGGGGGGGCCCTTAGCGTCCATTTTCAGCTTTCCGGGATGTCCATATGCTTCTATAGACGCTCATGGAAGCACGGCATTCGTTTGTGTCGGCTGCCCTTAAAGGCAATGTGAGCGTCCATTCTCATTGGATAACGGAGAATTGTACACCCGGAAGTAAGTATTCCCCTTACTGTCGATTGATTTTACAGTGATATCTGCACTACTCATCGACTAAAAAACACCAGATTATCCTTGTTAATTACACAACATTGATTGGTTTAAATTGTGTGCAATGCTTTTGTATTTTTCCCCTTCGATTCGGAGAAACAAATATGTTTTCGGAGTAAAGGATGGCAGAAGACACTACACTACCCAGAATCCCCAGCTATCGTTTGGACTACACCATGTGCTCTGTTTGACGTCACGTGATCTTCAAATTTCTCCCTGAAGAAAAAAAAAACATGGCCGAACTTCGTTTTATTCTCGATGGAAAATGCCTATTTTAAAGTTAGTTTGGCCATTAAAATGCGTTTTGATGTCATTTGATGCGAGAAATATGAGTTGTTATTTCAGATTATGTGTGCAGTGGATGTACATGATCTTTAGTTTGCTAGTTATTACGAAGATTACTTCAGGAAATTGCGTCCATAACGTTTTCATTGTTACCAAGGTGGTTGCTAGGGACGCTGCTATCGATATTATTTCTGTTATGTTGTTTAACTGTTTAATGGTGTTATCTTTATTGCTACCCCCTTCCCCGTCAATGTATAGTGTTGGTCCACAGCGAAACATATTAGTTTAACAAAATCCGCATCTAAAGATAGCCTACGTTATTTTCCCCTGTGCAATTCCAGTCTCACATCTCACAGCACATCGTCATGAACAAATAACGGAAACAGACCGAAAACATTGAAAAAAAATACAATAATACTTTATTCCGAGTGTGCTTGCTTTTCTCTTTGGAAGTCATCACATAACGGCATTGTAATACACGGTTCGGCTGCATTAAATATTACATATCTGCCGTAGTTCTGTATTTATAGAGCCCTGATGAGAAGACTTCTAGACAAACATGAGGAACTGAAAACGTGACGTGGATCATAAATATATCAGCCATTAAACAACATCTTACATTTCTTTTCACACAATACGTCTCCTTGCAGTATCAACACTAATTCGGCTGACTTTTATATTTGATCCAATTGGTAGATAAGCTGTATTTACACCATAAAGGTGCACAGCTGATATAAAGGGACACCTAGTGGTTAAAGCATGTTATTGAATTTCATTATTTTTATCATTAGATATTAATAGGATCCCTATAAAGTATATTAATTACTCGTTATTCTCTACTAATAGTCCATTAAAGACTGTATATAATGACTATTTTGCACATCCCTTTCAAGATTTCAAGATTTTCTAAGGTTTATTGACATATCATATAGGCCTACACAACTATGGTGTAGTTATGCATTGAATGAAAAACTTGGGTCGCAGGTTCCTCAATAGTGCATTACAAGACATCTATCAATATTTGTGCGTACCTCCAGCAATGTTAACTATGTTGAAGCACTTATTTTAACTGATATTATACATAATGTATTATACTCTTATAAGATGTATGTAGATATTTCATCTCCGACCTTGTCAGGTATTGAACAATCAATAAATAAAGAACACAGAATTGTTGAATATAAAACACAGAATTTGTGTGATTATACTAAATTATTTACAAATAAACACCACTGCATATTTAACTGTTACACATGCTGATGTAACGCAAATGTTCCAACTTGAGATCAATAAAGTATATCTTATCTTAAGCTGATCGATGGCTATACTGCCATATTTGCAAAATGTGCCTCTGAACCTTAACAAGTGCATGTTTCAGGCTTATCAATTAATGTAATGTAATGTAATGTTATCAATTAACAACAGGGGTCACAAACATAAGACCAGCTGTTAAATAAAGCT